GAGATGGTACTGTGGCTGCTGCTCTTCACTGCTGCAAGTCCAGCCAAAACCTGAGCTGAGTATGTACTGCAAAGGAGCCGATGCATACACAACACACTAATGTCATCAGCCACACAAAACACAGCAGGGTCTTTACTGTTCCATTACCCAGACACACAAACAGCACCTCAAGTAATGGGAGTGCTTGAGTAAGATTCAGAGCCACATTATGTGTTACTTGAATGTCTCAGTTCCACAGGATTCCCTACTTCCTTCCTGTTCAACCCATGAAAACCAGACATTTCCAGTGAGAAAGCTCCTCGGAATCTGGGTTTTTTCATGTAATGATTCTTGTGCTCAGGAGAAGCATGTGGCAGAAAAGGCACTGACAACTGCAGAAGCTAAACACAGCTGTCCAGTATAGATGGACTTGTTTGAAACACTTCCCTCTTCAGTGTTTGAAAGGAAATAAGCAATGCTTATCTGACTAATCCAATGTCCTTCAAATTCTAGTACATTTGGAAGGATTCAGTGCCACTGCATACAGTATTTCAGGTTAGTAATAGAAATGAACTTTTATACATGCCCTGTGAAGTTAACCTACTGGGTTTTTTTTCCCCTTGAGAAGCCTATTTTCATCAGACAATAACCAGGTGCCCTTTACTAGCTTCATATTAAAAGAACTTTAGTTGTTTTATGTGTAAACAGGCCAAAGTGCCCAACTCTCTCCTTTTTCCAGAAGTGTGAGTGCTATTGCAAATCCTGTAATTTCAATAATCAAAAAAGACCCATTATTTCAACAGCTGTGGATGAATTCAGGAAGTTGCTACTGATGAGCTTTATGAGCATGTTTCTGCTTTCTAAAACAAGCTTCCACTTGTGCAGATGATAAAGTGGATTTATTCCAAAATGATCTCACATGGTAGAAAATTCTGCCAATATACGGATGTTGCAAACAAAAATGGTCCTAAGTTGGGAAATTTTACTTGAGTTAATTTACTACCAAAGTACACAAATCTTTCACTGGTGATTGAGGTTCTGGGGAAAGAAAAAAAATGTAAACCATTAGACAAATGTATCCATGTACATTTTTTCTCTCCTCTGCTCCTGAGTTTCAGCTTCCTTTTTTTTTTTTCCCTATGAGGTCAACTCTGTCTGTCAGAATTTGCCCAGGGAGCCAACTGGCAGCACAGGAATTTGTGGGGCTGTGTGTAATGCTTTGTACCACACCAAGTAATATGGTTTCAGCCATTCAATCTCAATGCTCCCAGCTGTCCTGGGCTTTGGGATGCCAGTTGTCCTGTTCCTCATTTGTCCCTGCTCCAGTATGGGGTGTGACCACTGAATGCAGTTCTTTCAGAGGCAAACTTGCTTCAGTGTAGTCTGTTCCTCACATATTCCTTGTGTGTGGAGATTCCCATTTTAGCAGCTGCAGATCACTCCTCAAATCTGGTATGTAAGGAGGTGCTGTACACTTCTCTCAGGGAGGTTATACTGTGCAATGATTTTTTTCCGCTGTTGCTCCATTCACATCTGGGCAGGCTGGAATGTGTTTTGACTGGCACACAGTGATTCATGGATGTCCAGTTCCAAAGGGTTAGGAGCACTCTGTTATATCCATGCCAATGGACTTTATATTGTGCATATCCAAATATCTGTCAGTACTGGGTACCTGACCAGGCAGAGATAAATTTCTCCTAATGGAGAATTGAAATGGAAAAATCGAGAAAAAACAGAAAAGAGGAAAAGGAAGCTTCACTTCTGTTAAGCCAGTATTAACTTTCTGAAGAGCTGAGAAAAGCACCAGTCTGATGGCCAGCTGGACAGCAGAATCTGTCCAGGAGTAGAACCTTGTAGCATGTTCTTCACACCTGTCTTCAGTGAGCATGAGTCAGCCAGTAACTGCTGTTTGTTCAGGTGTGCCAACAGGTGAATAAGGCCTGACCTGAGGTTTAGATAACCAGACCATGAGAAACCCTCACAAGCAACCCTGAACACAACAAATAACAGAGTGAGAAGCTGAAAGTTGTTACAGAGAGCACTGTAAGCCACGCCTGGACTTCCCAGGTGGATAAGGAGGAGTTACACAGTAACTTCATAAATAATTGGAGGGGAATAGTTGGGACTCTTTTGGGAGTGGAAACTTCAAGGCCAGCAGCACCTCAGTAACCATATCAAAAACAGCACATAAAGTCAAGGTGACTTAGGAAATGGTAGGAGAAATATGTATGTGGGTACAGATGCAGAAAACCTGGGACTAACAGGGAAAAGGCAACTAGGAACAAGTTGTTCCTTCAGGATATACAGGACAGAGAAAGGGAGGGGTCAGAGTAGGTGGAAGAAGAATAAGCATGGGAAAAAATCAAGAGAAGGTAGAATAAAAGGGACCAGTTCTATGCAGGCAAGCTGCTGGTCAGAATTTATCTCAATAAGCCTTGTGCCCCATAGCTGCAGGACATCCAGTCCTTTCATTAAACCTGATTTTCTGCTTGATCCTGGGGAGAGATGCAGGGCAGGGTGGGAGAAAGAGAGCACTGCAAGTCACAGGAGTTGTGTACACGCACGTTTTCATCAGTGAACTTCAGTCTTGATCTGTTGGAAAGGAAGAGGAGGATTAGGTTATCTGTGTTCATATTGATAGGAATGCTGCTTGTGTATATGTGGGTGACAAGCAGTGAAGACATCAGTCTCTGTGTGGTCTGTGTGGCTGATGATGTTGGTGCTCTGTGTGTATCTGCACCTTTGCAATGTGTACTCAGCTTGGGATTTGGCTGGACTTCCAAAAAGGATCAGCAGCAGCCACAGCTATCAATCCTAGATGGAAGACATTGCCTGGGTGCTAGACTGCACCAGATTTGTCTGTAGAAGGAGAAACCCCCCCCATCCCAGGATTCAGCTGCTTCTTAGCATTGTCTGTTCTCAAATTGTGTACATCCTGCTGGCAGGGTCTTAGTGCATGCTAAAGGACACCCAAATAAAAATGATCCCGTGGGAGTCACAGAAAGAAAATCCATTTCACTTGTCACTGTCCTTCAAAATCAAGATGAACCAGGGAAAAAGAAATCAAAGATCTGAATATGTGGGGCTAGAATCATGGAGTAAAGCTGAAATTAAGGGTTCAAGCTATCTTCCTGAGGCTGACAGAGGCTAGAGGAAATATTGCTGGTTCCAACATCAATGGGGAATCAGATCACTCAAAGTCTATTAGCAGAGCCAATATTTAAACTGATGACACTTTTTTCCTAGCTGAAATTGGGATGAAGTGTTGTTTTTGTTGATGTTTAAATTAATGGTTTGCATTAGTTCAGCTCCAGACAGGACTGAACACAGATGGTTCAATTCTAAGTCTTCCATGATGGATAACGTGCCACAGTCGATAAGGTGACTCAACTCTCCACAACCAGTAGTGGACTTCAAGAAGCAACCCTGAGAAGTGAACAGAAAGCCTATTGATTTTCAGTAATGGATACTCATTTTGCTCCTTTAGTGTTTTAGAGCTTCTTAGGCACCTCACTGAAGGCAAGGGGAGTTTTTTTCATTTGGATGAACAGATTCTCAGGAATCAACAAGGGAAAAACTCTTAATAATCAGCTTATCCTGGGCTGCTTGGTTAATCTATCATTCCTGACAGAAGTAAACCCCTGGTTATTCTACCTGATAGGGAAGGGGTCACACTTGGACCCCAACTCATAGGAAAGGGCATTTGAGTGCTGGTATGGATATAGAAATTGCTGTAGGGGAAAGTCCATAAACCCCTATTGTGCAGTTTTTGGAACTGGGTGAACACCTTTGATCAGACAGAAATCCCAAGAGCACAATTAATTACTGACAAAGTTTTTATCCAAAATAGAGTTCTTACTGAGCTAATGCTTATTATTCATCTTTAGTTTCAAACTGATTAGTTAAATTAAAAATACATTTTTAAAAACATTTAGAAAATTGATTAAAAACAAAATGTCTGTAACATGTCTGTAATTTTATGTATCAAAATCTACCATCTTGTGTGATATTTTAATGAAATAAATTATGCCATGGGTTCCACCTTCCCAACAAGCTCACCATTGTGAGTACTTGTTCTTGAATGCTTACCACAATAGCTGGATGCAGTGAAGATGTATCCCACCAGGAATAATTGTCGATCATGTGGTGGCTGGATGACGCACTCTCAAGTTTCTTATTTCCATTTATATTCCACAAAAGCTTCCAAAGATAATTGACATCTGCATTTCTTATGATCCAGGGTGGGCCATGATTTTCTAAAACACATCCCCATGAGTAAACTGTGTCTCAGTGCTATCAGGCCCTGGAGGAATGTTGTATGGCAGCTGCTTTTGAAAAAGCAGCCATGTGTTTAGTTACACGAGGAGGAATTTTTTCTTAGCATTGCTAAAAGAGCAATATCTCACTGAATTTCGGTGTGATTTTTCACTCATTAAATGCTGGTAAGTTTTTCAAAATCTTCCTCAAAATAAGATCTGCTGTTTCTGAAAATTCTACCTCCAAAATTTTCTCTGACACCTCCTGTGACAGACTTTTGGAGACAAAGAGCTGTTCAGTCAGCCTTAACATGTTTTGAACTACAAACAACTACACCTGTGGTAATTTTTAAAAAACTGTAAAGAGAGCTTAGCCCAAAATCAGGATCTAAGGATCCAAACAGAAATGAACCAAACAGTATTCAGAGGATGGGTTATTCACACAAGTAGAAATATACTTCATATTCAAAATAGTTTTCTTCCCATAAAATTATTTCTTCATATTAATAATGTGGCACCTTCTGCAAGCCTGATGACAAAGCAGGATTCAGTGGTGTTTGGCATCAAACAGAATAAAAGACTGTTACTGCCCCAAATACACTGTCAATTAAATAAAGACAATATTTATAAAAGCAAGATCAGATCATATAAAGATTTTAACTTTCACTTGCACCTACAGTCAGACCACAGCAGAAGAAATATGTGGAACATAAAAGCAAATCTGATAGTGCCAGGTAGTGTTTTATAAATGTATGACTTGTCTAAACATGCCTCAGCATTTTATTGCCTCATACAGCATGCCTTTTTGTTTGTGTCAGACTGAAGTTTGATGGTTTTCTCTTTCACTTTATCTTCATGTTCTTTTAAAATCCTGGGGCAAAGAAAGAATACTTGTGAGAAAAAAAAGTCAATAAAACCCACAAGAGATTGAACAAAAAAACCCATTTTCCCAAGAGTATAAAATTGTCCAGAGATTTAACAGAAGATGACAAAATTTTGTGAACTAACAAACAAGCAAAAAAGTGCAGTTATGGTGGCCCCATCACACAACTGCTTTTGTTCATTTAGTTAGAAAAATTTAGTTAGTGCTGACTGTTAACATTTATTGCATATTACACAGACTCAAAACAGTGACTTTCATTTCTTACTTTTAAGGCTGGAACAAAACTAAAACAAATCTGGCTGCCCAGACATTTATCAATTACCGACACTTTCGCAAAATGTCACTAATTTCAGCAACAATATTAGAGATTTGCCAACACATTACCAGTGTCTTCACCTCTGTAAATAGTTCAGTGGGGCCATATTTTCCTGTATCTTTACCTCTAGCCTTTATATAACTTCAAAAATGCACTTCTTCCTGTCTCCCAGCCCCCAGGCAGACAGCAGAATTTGAGCTGTAATGGGCAGAGGGGAGAAGGAAACATATCCAATGTCCTGCTGCAAGGAATCAGCAGCATCCATTTTCAAGTATATTTCTGCAAACCTTCAGGAAATTCTTGCAAGAATTATCACAGCAGCCAAGGCCCTCAGCTTTCCTAGCAACAATCCAGGTGTTTCTGGATCTATACAGAGTTTCATCAGCATAACTCTTTATGAACTCGAGCAACTCTCAGTCAGAGCAACAGGGTCAGGCTACAGAGTAGTTTAAAAGCAATGAATATTTCACCACCCTGAGTTCCTATAACTAATAAATATAAAACTAAAATAAATATAATATAATATAACTTAAAACAAGTTAAACAAAGAGAATTCACAACGTCATGAGCTACAAGGCAGTCAGGCACATAAAAAACTCATTGTTGGTGTTTTCTTCTTACCTAGCTAAGTGGAGCACGGACTTTTCCACATTGTACCCAGAATATGCACTGCATTCATAGAAAATTAAATTGTAATCCTACAAACAAAGAGAAAGACCATTTCAATTACTTTTGCACAATGTCTCACTCCAGCTGTAAAAAGAGCAACAGAGATATACTGAAATATTAAAATAAAGAAGGAGAAATAAATTATTTTAGTATTATAATTCTAGAGCTAACTGTAAAGAGTAACAAAAGAAGTCCAAGTGTGCCTCACAAATAACAACTATATGCTTCTCTTAGATATTTGTTCTGTGGAGTGGCTTTTGATGTAAGAGCTCACATGAAAACAGATCTTGTAAGGTACTAAGTCTTGTGAACTTCCCTTGTGATGATCAGGCAATTCCCACATCACTGAGTGCTGGACAAAGCAGGTGAAAAGAATTCCAGTAACTCTTCTTTCATCTTTTTGTACTTGTGAAACTTTTCTGCACTTTCTTTGCAATCAGCCAGCATCTTTCAGTTTTGTACACCCCTGGGAACTTTGTAATTACGAACAGTGGGTAAATGATCAAGTCTTGGGAGAGATTCTCAGCTGAAGCCTTAAAAATGCAAAGGCAAGAGATCATCTGCACAAGAGCCTGACCTGGCAGCTCTGATGGCAGAGAAGTTTGAAAGGGAATGACAGATTATCCTCCAAAATAGATATCTGTCTACTTTCACAACCTGCTACAATGAAGGTCAACCACATTGCCTCTGTGGTATTACTACATGTCCTTTTACCCATCCAGATTTCAAATTTCTATTCCCTTTCCACTTGTCTCTGTGTCTTATTGCTATTTATAGCAGCAGCTTAAAATTCAAGCAAATAAGTCAGTACCTTAGAAAATTACAATCACGTCTGCAGAGTTGCATTTGTTTGTTATTAACTCTGGTTACTGCACTTATTTAACCACTCTTCAGAAGGCATTTATAATTCAGTTCTCAAAACTTTCCATTAAGATGACCAGGTATTTCTGTTTTGGTTTGGTTTTTTTTGTTTTTTTTTTTCCTCTATATACTATGCTTCCAGAATTGCACAACTTTTGGAAATTTTAGTCATCTTCATGGAATTTCAGAGACAGAAAGTGGGGAAAAGAATTCCATAAATACAGTAGTTTATTTTAGCAGCTCTAAAAAAAAGTGCTTCAGAGTTATCCAATGTCAGTTTTATATATGTTGTCAATGGTTATATTGTTTGTTCCAATGAAAAACAGGATTGAACAATGTGCAATAATTTCTTGATGACCAGATAAGCACAGAAAAGCAGAGAAGGAAGAAATCAAGCAATGTTAGTGTTGAATAGACTTTTATCGATTTTTTTAAACATATGCAACATTTGCAATAATGCAACCCTATGATTCTCTTGCTTTTCTTAAAAAAGTTTTAAGATAGAATTTGACCTGGTCAAATTTCTTACTAGCTATGCAAACAGAAGCTTGAAATCAAAATTACACTCTCTTTTTCTGCTCAGCTGATCAGATCTCTACTAGAAATCCTACTGTGGTCAGTTTATAGGTATTTCACGTCAGTCTAGTTGAGCGTGATACTACTCCAACATCTTCCCCACATACACCAGAGGAGAACTCAGTGATAATTTCAGTTAAGCTGTTATGAATCTGAATGGATTTTTCAAAAAATTGCTTGGATGGAAGGACAAGAAGTTAAACTAAATTGATAATGAGTGCTTAATTCTCTCAGTCTAGCAAAAAGGTTCTTATCTGAAAGGGGAGATAGTCTGGAAATACAACATGCCATTTCTCTGATTCAAAGAGGAAACTTTAATTGACAGAATACACAAGGAGCACAAACTAGGAGCAGGCAGGACACATATAATTATTAAGCTAGGAAATGCCATCCATCTCCATCCAGGAACCAGCTGAACCTTGGAGACCACTGGCAATTACTTCATTTTAAAAACTTACTTACAAATCAGCAGACATCTAAAGAACAGGGAGGAAAATGAAGTATTACCAGAGGGAGGTGGGCATTTTCTGTCCTGTAAAGTACCATGCTCTGAGAATAGCTGTCTCATTGGCAGTATTTGTGTAAGAATGGCACTGACAGGCTGACAAAGTAGGCACTATGAATACACAGAAACAGTCCTCATTCCATGAAGCACATATACTCTGCAAAGCCAAGGCAGAGGAGGCATTATTATCTTATTTTATAGTTGAGGAAAAGTGACAGAGAAGGATTTACTGACCCATTTAAGATCACTCAGGAAGTATGTGCAGGGCCAAAATAAAATCATGTGGATATAAGCATGCCTGAGCAGCACCTTTATCATAAGGCATTTTATTTAAATAATTGGCAGCACTTAGACTTCTGTACTCAAACAGAACATTGGCTGTTCCTGGACACTCACAATATGATCTGAACACTCTCTCTTGTTGTGCTCATATGAACTCTTGATCACTGGATCAAGCTAAGCAAAAGAGAAATTTGTTACATGGAGTGTTGCTTCTGGATCCTCTGCTAAAACAAGTCAAATGGGCTTCCACAAACCCTGTGCTCATTCCATTCTTCCTTTTCACAGGGTATAACAAACACCCTGGAACTACAAGTCTTCTCAAATGACCACCCCCTTCAGGCTGCCATTATTCCTTTTAAAAATCAGTTGTGCTGCCCGCCTTGCAGAGAAGTTATGTGACAAGGGCATTATAATGGAAGCCCTTGGGTTTCTGACCAAAGCTGTAGTACAGCACAGTGCTAGTAGGATGTGGGACTGAAGTAAAGCAAGGGTTAATACAGCTGACTTGAAATGACCCCTGAAAATACATCTTCCTTTCTGACTATAGAAAAAGCTGGGTAAAACCAATCCCATCCTGTGAGACATTGAAACAGTCCTTAAAACTGTTGGACTTCAGGACAAACAGGCTAAACTAATTCTTTGCACAACAAGAGCTTGTTTTCACCAAATATGGCTCTACAAATTAGTATCAGCTCAGCACCTAGCCCTGTGTATTTGGGATCATTCGTGAGTAATTCATGGGATTATTCACAAAATAAGTAACTCAGCTGCATACACTAACAGAGACAGTGGTATGTGGTTTCACAGGAATTACATGGCCATTTAGCAAGAATTAATATTTCATTAAAATTCATGGTTATTATTAGCTCAGCAAGCAAATTATTATAATTTAATTATATCTATGCTACTTTTCAACTAATCCATTGCCATTAATCACTCCTTCTCTTAACTACCTCAGGCAGCACATTCAAACATTCAAGTGAGTCATTCAGATCCATTCATTTGATTATAACCATCTTATTTGACAACTTTTTGTTTTACTTATGCAAAACATTTTATTTTCTTGCATGACATGTTAGAATTAATAGCCTGGTGGGCTGTGAGCTCTATATACTAGAGTGATTCATCTTTGTTTTACTAGTACAGTTTTTTTAGAGCAAGATGACATGCAAGACGCCTACTGCCTGTCCATTTAGCATTTATGTGTCACTTGTTTTTTCACAGAAGGATTCAGTACTACACCCTGGTCTCACTCCTAGCTTCCAGGGTCTCAAAGTTATCTGCTTTCCACGCACCCAAGAAAATAAAGCTGATTTCCTAAAGGGAGATCCTTTGTGGATAAAGTTCAAGGCTGATAAACCTCTCTGACAAAAACCAAATAATGGACACAAACCTGAATAGAGAGGTATAATTTCAAAAGGCTATGTGAATAATCGAAGTAAGATAGAGATCTGGCCCTAATTCTTTCAGTTACAGAGAGCTGCCTATCAGCAACTTTTCCTGGAAGAACAATTCAGCTGCACTTCAAATTTTAAAAACACCCTTTTTATTACTGGCAGTAAATCTATTTTCAAAGGCAAAAGAGGTAAATATGTGAAATCCAGCACACTGTTTAATTTAGGTATATTCCTACCAATTTGGTGAATATTTCAGCAATATTTCAATTACTTCTAAATAAATGAATATTCTGCAGACATTCATGCTCAAACTATAAGCACTGTATAAAGAGATTCAAAGGAAAAATTGATGGGCATGGTGCACAAGAATATAAACAAGTATCTGGTATTTGCAGTCTCTTGATTGCTTAAATTATGCCCATGGATCACCAGTGCTCTGGTAGATGCAGACTGTTAACTCTACTTATTTTATCTCCTTGATGGAAAGTTACTAAAAGTAAACATGTTTTCTACTCCTACCACAGGAGTAACAGATGGTCTTCTTTGGTTTTACAGGAGGTAGGAGGGAGAAAAGGTCCCCAAATTATCTCTATGTTAAGAATCCTTTCAGAGGGAAAAGGGAAGAAAAGAGAGAGAAAAGAAGCAGCAAGGGAAAAAATAGAGAAAAAGAGAGAACACAGAGAGACGAGACACAATGAGAGTGAATTCTTAAATATTTTTCTTCTCCACTCATTCTTTGGTTTGGTTTAGGGTTTTTTATTTGATTCCTTTGGTTTTAGGGTGTTCTCTTTATCTAGGCAGTGTTGTAAGTACTATAATTATCAGCACTTACATCACTGAAAGCTGAATTGAAGAGTGTGATGGGGTTCCTAATCCTTAAAGATACCTACCTGACTAAGATTATTCTGTGCTTCTATATATTTAGACACACTGAGACTCCATTTCAAAACCTTCGCCTTCAAGCCGTGTAAGGAGTTCCCAAAGTACAGTACCTTTGCAAGATGGTCTCCTATTCCCATCGGGACCTCACGCTCCTTTTCATTATCGGTTTTGTTACCCAACAAAAGAACAGGCACGTTCTCCCCAGTTGCCTCCTGCAGAATAAACAGCAAATATCAACTGAAATGTTGAATTCAAAAGATCACAGATGAAGAGGATAAAAGCTAACAAATGTCACACTCTAACAAGACATTTAAGACTTCACACAAACCAGGGATGTGCCACTTTGCTTACAAACATGTCAGGAATTGAAGCTGGATAAAAGACATGAAAAAGACATAATGCTAAGATTACACTGACTAGGGACTTTTTTAAATAACAGCACAGAAGCTCATTAGACTTTATATTAAAATGGGAGAGAGAAAACCACCATGCTACACAGGCTCAGATATTATGTGTTTACAGCCACTGCTTTGCTAATTACATGGCCAGGAAAAATAATGGCAACACCTGGGTACTATTATGCCAAATGAATTACACGAAATAGTGAAGAAATACACAGAAAAGGCCCCCCAAAATACACAGAATAGACAGAAATCAAAATCTATTCTGAAAAGGGTTATAATTATCACAGTGAGTGCTTTCATTAGGTGGGCTGAACGCTACAGCAGTAAAGGGACTTGGCAGTATGTCCAAGTTAGCAACAGTTTGCAGCAAACAAAAATCAGTTAGTAAAGAAGAGTGAACTATTACAGCTTGGAAAATACTTTTGACCACAATATTCCATTTTTCTGAATCAAAATCAGCAATGCTCCTCTAGCTTTTTCCATACTGAATTAAAACATGCCACTGATTTATTAAGATCATATAATTAGCAAGGGCCTGTTCTTCCCAAATGCATGCTAATAGTACTTCATTAAGGCTACTCATATCTGGAATAACTATGAGTGTTTGGAGGCATTTAAATGACTGAGTCCTAATCTGAACTCCCAAAGCCACCTCTTGGCTATTCTGGAAATATAATAGTATATACTAATAATAATAATAATCATCATCATATATATAATAATGTTATAATAATAGTGTGTTATACTAGAGCACATGCCCAATAAAATCAGACTAAATGATCTTTGCATATTGATTTGTCCCTTACTTTTTCAGTGTGCAAACAGGAAGTCACACTTCATTCTTGCTACAAGTCAGCCCTTTGTAGCAGTGACTCAGTTTTATTTTTACTCTTTGTTCTTGCCACAAGAAAATTCTGTTGCTTACGCTCTTAATATGTTTTAATTTTTAATTATTTGATGTCACTGGACTATGATTTCCTTTTCAAGTGGCTGAAAGGATGATCCCCAGCAAACTGAACTGTCTTTCACAAGGCAGTTAGTTTCACAGCACTAATGTAGATTACATTGTTCTAAGTCTATGGCTTATGTTCACAACATAGTCTATTTTCCATGAGCTACACACTTGGTTATCAAATGCTAGTGATCATCAGTGATCACCAGATCACCATCACTGATCCAAAATACCTCTCAGTGCTACCAGTGATCCAGTGGGGGTCATCAGTTGAGCCCTCTTCGTGAGAAATCAGAGGACTCCAGGCTGGGATTTTCCCACCACTCATCCTAAGTCCTTAAAACCCTGGAACTATGGTTTGTTTTTTTTTCATAGAGATAGAGATGAAAAACAACTTCACTGGCAACAGTGCAGACCAAACTCACCAGCAAAAATGTAATTGTGACAACACAAGAAACATGGTGCTCTCTGTTTTACCCTGCTAACAACCCTTGTTCAGAAGAAGGTAGAGCATGACACCAGGGTTTGGATTTCAAGTTATTCCCAGTTACCTCAATGCTTATCAGCCACTGCTTGACAGCTGTGAATGTGTCTTTTGATGTTATGTCATACATCACAATGACCCCATCAGCTTTTCTGAAAAACTGCTTGGTAATGCTTCGGTACCTACAAGTAAGAAACTGGTTACAGCTCTCTTCAACAGAAGCAACAATCTGACAAGTTAAAATTTATAGTAATTCCTCCACACAAAGGCAAATAAATTATTTGGAAAAAAAAAATTTAAATAGGATTTTTTAAAAGAAAGCATTTGGAAAAGCTCCCCTTGCCTTCTTTAACTGACTCTGGGTTAGGCAGGATAATTAGCCTCATATCTGGCTTTTCTCACCTCTTTCATTTTAAACTTGGAGCAGAAATCTCCCCCTCACTAAGTGCTCTTCTAAAGCTAGCTAGGTTTTTGGAGACCTTTTTCCAAAACTTCATGTAGAAAATACAGATTGTCATTATCATCCTTGCTTTTAGTAATAGAAAATTACACAATAGGTGAGGAGATTGGGAAGGAAATTACCACTGAAATCTTACAAAAACCTGGAGCTCTACTACAATGGTGTTGCTTTAGTAAAAAGAAAAAAAAAAATAAACTCATCTTTTTTATCCATTAAGGTATTTTCTGCTATAGAAATAATTCTAGGTGCATTTTAAAATCAGTCTTCCTCCTAAAGAAACAGTGCAACTAAACTTTTCAGAGCTTACGTAGTGCTGCAAGGGAATGAGCTAAACTGTGAATCCACTGGCACTATTAGGAATGCTCCTATATTTGTTCCTCTCCCAAGAAGCAGGATTAGGTCCACACTTAATGATCTTCAAACAGATGATTCAAGGAAGTGAGACCTTAAAATGCATACAGGTTTTGACTGGCATGGAGTTGAATTTCATCATACTGTCTTCATTTCAAACAAGGAGTTTTGCCACTTCCATCCCTCCAATTCCCTCCTCCATCCCAGCAGATGAGGGAGTGAGGGAGCAGCTACACAGCTGGGCTGAGCCCCAGGGGTGAAGCATAAGAGAGCCTTCCTCACCGTTCCTGGCCAGCTGTGTCCCAGAGCTGCAGCGCTACCCGGGTGCGATCCACTGTGACAGTTCTCACGTTGTAATCCACACCTGCAACAGAAACCAAGGTGAGCTTGGTTACAAGCTGTTTGATCACTGAAAACTGGATCCTGCAAATAGCAACAATTCCAGAGAAGTAAAAAGATAGGCACTGCATTAAAAATTATGCCCAGAGTCTCCAGCTATCAGAGAACAAGAGCTTTTATTTGCTTGAAGTCCTCCAGCAATAAAATACTGAATGGTAGTAGAGTAGTTCAGTTTTGTAAAATATGCAAGATAAGTCACTTTCCAAATCACAGAACGCGAGTCAATGGTCCATCTGACAGTCCACAGCAGTCTAAGCCATTTAGCCTGGAATTCACTGTATGACATCAGTTGTGTGAAATGTGTTAGTTCAGTCTGAGCTAACCACATGGGAACCTTCCACAGTCAGTGGAAAAACACAAGGCATGGCACAGGGAACAGTGGAACCTAAGATAAATTCCGAAGATAGGTGGATTGAACATGTGGAGAACATCTTCTCCTATTTATAACATAAAAGATGAACTCACTTCCTTTACGTCAGTGGACATAAAAAATTCATTTATTTAAACTTTTAAATTAATCCTCTCCAGACTCCTCTAACCTGTGAAGATGTAAGTATTTTCTGGATATTTATAACAATAATTAGAATTCAAAATGTTAATCAGTCACTACCTCCTCCTAATGACAACCTACATATTTTTGGTGTCACATTGAACTGTATCATAAAATCACTGAATCATTGAATAATTCAGGTCAGAAGGGATCTCAGTAGGTCAGCAACAGTATCTTTGGGGCCATTTTCCACAAAAATGGGATTTTTACCAGCGGCATCAATGGAGAAGCATCTATGCCTGCTTAGGTTCCTTGAATAGGCAATTAAAAACCTGTATGGAGGCTATACCTATTGCTTGTACCTCAAGGGAAGAAATTTGAACTGTTCTGTAGAAATTCATTGAGAACACTCCTCTCCATATTGTTCACTTGACTTTTCAATTGTCTGTACCTTGCCAGCCATAGCCCACACCTGTGAAAGTCATTGATGTGAACACTAAATCAAAGGTATGACAAATGTCTTCTTGTCACTTTCTTTGCAAGAACTCTGGATGACCAGCCAAAAGAGGAAAAAGCTCAGACTCATTCCCGTGTTTTTCCTCTGGAAAATTGCACACACTGTGTAAGACCTCAGAGTGTAGAGAAGTATATCAGCCAATTACAGGACAACATGGACAGGATACAGCCTTTAAGTCTATAGACTATATATAGTCTATAATTGCAGATAGGTGTCCAAGCCCCCATTCCAGTTAATGAAGATACAGTCATTAAAAAACTAGGACATTACTAAGTTCACCTTGAAGTAGGTTTTATTTCATATATGCTGCAGAATAAGTAAGGTGTCAATACAGGCTAAGCATAAAGGATCTGGTCATTTAACCCAGCTGCATTGCAATAACCTATACTTGAGTACTTGTACCTCAATTTTGAGTCTGACTTTTGAAAGCTTGGACTACAACTTTAGGCAAGGTAAGAAGGTAGGCTTTGAAAATTTTGGCTTTCAAAACACTGGTCTGACATTTTTTTTTGGTGATTACTATAATGCTAAATCTTCAAATAGGTGATTCAGATATTCTACTTTCTCTCTAAAACAGAATCAGATTACTTAGAAGGATAGCAATGAGATACAAAGGTGGGATTGTTAGTACAGTGCAGTCCAGAGGACAGATCTGTTTCAGAACTGTGAGATCTACAAGGAAATTCTAGCTTCACAGAAATCAGTAGATTTTTTCTGAGTTATCTCAGTGTTGACCAGGATTTCAATACAGAATCTACTCTGAAACTTCTCCATCAATTATGTGCTTTCCAGTTTAGGAGAACTTACTTTCCATGTCCTACTTTTACAACATCTGTATGTTTCTGTTTTATAATACAAGGCCTGATCTCAGTAGAAACTCTTAAGTACTGTCAGAACAAAAATAACAATATTTATATTGTTAAACTTACCTACAGTAGCAGCAGTGCCTGGGAAAAAACGATCTTCACAAAATCTTCTTAAGAATGAAGTCTTTCCAACACTCGAATTGCCCACAAAAACGATCTTGAATAAGCGCTCTGGGACAGAGTTTATTCTCTCCTCCTTCAAGTAAGAGCAAAAATTAGCCTCTAACTGTTCTATAAATCCTGTTGCCTCTCCAGTTAAAGGCTGATATGCAGAAAATAACAGATTTTATCCTATCATATTCTTCATTACTCATGAAGCAATATTCTGTTTCTTAAAATAACTCAGCATTTCAGATGTTTGCCATGCATCATTCCAGATCATCCAAAGTGCAGTGATTTGCACTGAGCTCTGGAAGTATACTGAATATGAACCTTTACAGGAAACTGACAAAATAAAACAGTTTACGTTCATGGCCACAAATCAAAATTTATAAAGCTTCACACAGCTCTGCTCAGTAGCTTCATCTATACCAGTGACACAGAGGAAGCAGCACATCTTCATCTAGATAACAGAAGTAAAGTCATAATTTTTTTGCTTATGCTACCAGATTCTTCCCTCTGTTACTAGCATAGAGCCAAGAACTTCCATCCAATTACCGCATTTCTACATCTGTTTAACATTACAGGCAGAAGCATTCAGGAAAGACACAGACAGAGAATTAGACCAGTTAATCAGGCTGTAAACATTCAGCTATGTTTCTGTCATTTTGCTTTTTAAGCAGAAGGAACAACAATTTGTTCTTCTTATCCAGATTCTGTTTACTGCAGGCTAAGCTAAGTGGATGCTGGAGAAAATATTTATATCCTCTATCAAGTAGGTCATAATTCTTTTGTATGTAAATCAGGAGTTGCTTAGGGAAGCACTTGTAGCACCAGCTGGTTTGCAGGGGGTGCCCTTGCTGGTCTCTTCTATTCTGTGTAAAAGTGAAGGAAGAGGGAAATAGAATGTTTGCTTTCTATGCTGCAGAAGGGGAGCAAGATTATGGGTGGTCCTGACATCAGTTTGTTAAGGTGTGGGTTGTGAGGACAGAGAGGAGGGAAAGGAGGAAAGGAGGAAAGGGCCCTCTGCCAGTCATTTGACCTGAAGGATCCATGAGACCACTGCCTTCATGAAGACATCAGAACTGAATTCACTGCCCGACAGTCCTTTGAATGAGACACTGAAGTCTGCACTTGGAAGTGTTTTCTACAAATATACAGAAGCCTTAAAGAAAGAGAAGAAATAGAGAGCTGCTCTTGATGAGGAAAAAAATCTCAAACAACAAGGCTTGAGCTGCTGTCTCCCTTTGCGTGAAAAAAATAAAAATCATTCATGCTGTAAATTTTGGGGACAAAAAATACATGTCTCTTTCATGAGCTGGGCTTATAGCCCGCCACAATTATAGAGGGGTTTCTTATTTTCCTTTTCTATTGAAATTCTAAACCCCACGGCAACTATAGGCTACTAGTAGCACACATACATTAATACAAAGCACTCTCTCAGTCCTGATGAAAACCATTCCCAGCTTATTAGTCTGTGTGCTCTGGGAAATTAAACAAGCTAACATACAATCATCAGCTTGGCATATTATCACAGTGCTTCTGAGAACCATAGCTAAATATATGGACTACGTGACCTGAAATACTTTGTCCCAGGTGGTCATACACACTCCAGTACCACCAAAACTCAAAGACCCCAGAGGCCTTCAGCTCAACTCCCAACACAAGAACATAAGAAGCCATTTTTCACTGAGATGTATCAAGTCCAGTCATGAAAATAACCTTAATAATTAAACTTGATTATAAATCTGCATGTGAACACTATGCTAGGGAATAAGCTACTCCATAGTCTGCTTCAACAAAGTACTGATGGGAAAATGGAATAGCAGGAGGATGATAATTTATTTTAGTTTACAATGCAGTCTAAAATGTCTTTTAGATGTGTTTTTTGAGTAGTCTTTATATAAAAAGTAGCCAGGTAAAGTAACACACCTAGCTTTCGTACAATTTAACACAAATGTAGGAGATTACAGGTATAAACATAAGAGTTCATATTCCATATTGAAAACTAATCTCATGCAGGAGTTTTGAACAGAAAATCCTGCTTTAATTTCCATTAGGGTTCCTTCAGGTATTGAATATATTCCTTCAGGCTTGTCCTAGCTGGACAAGGATAAGCCACCTGGCTTTTGTCATCCTAAAGTCCAGTAATGCCATGCTTTGAAAATGTGACACAAAATAAGTCATACAGCAAGCAAAAAGCATGCACTGAATTAAACAATTTCAAAATATGAAGCTCTTTTTTGTACCCTCAATGATTTATTAAAAGGTACCACTTAGAAATTATTATGTAACCATGGCATAATTCTATCATAATTTTTAAGACATGCTTGCTTCTTCTAAAAGAACCATATAATTATGACCAAGCAAACCAATTTTTCCTATACTTTAATCTTTTTAATATGTGCTTCAAGAATCTAAAAATGAGTAATCCTTAACAATGATTCTAAAATTAGAAAACAAGCACAGCTAGCTCTGAAGCAATAGCAGTACAAAAAGAACTTTAGACTCCAAAGAAATGTACCTTCCAGCATACTGTTTTAAGGATTATTAGTGAATAGTGAATTCCTTGCTAGCATGCATATACAAGCTAGAGCTGAAAAAATATAGGATTTCCATTTGTTAAATAAAAGTATTTTCAATAATAATTAAAAAGTCATGATAATCCCTCTCATTATTTCTCAGATAATGTAACAGCTACCAAAGCTGACTCAAAAGTATCAGAATATGAGAAATATCACCTTGTGGCAAAAAAACCCCAAAGCCAAAAAAAACAATGTTTTTAAAAAACGCTTCTTTTTTAAGACAATTTCTACCTTCCACTGGATCTTCTTGTATCATATATTACAATGCTTAACTTCACTTTCCCTAAACAGTCCTTCAAATGTAAATCTACGCACACATTGTCGCAGTTACCGCTCCTTTAGGCTGAGTTTCCCTTCTTTGCACCTTCAGCACCTGTCTGCAGTACATTTTCATCCCCCACTTCATGCAATGGCTTAATTTGTCATGCTTCAACTTAAAGACAGAAACTAAATAATTTTAGATCCTATGACACCACTTCATGGCATCCAAGGTCCTTCAGAATAGAATAGAACAGAAGAGTTCCAGTTGGATGGGACCTACCTAGTCCAACTCCCTGACCACTTCAGGGCTGACCAAAAGTTAAAGCATGTTATGAAGGGCATTATCAGAAAGCATCTTAAACAATGACAGACTTGTGGAATGGGCCACCTTCCCCAGGAAGCCCATTCCTGTTTCTGACCACCCTCTCACAAAAGAAATGCTTCCTAATGTCAAGACTGCACCTCCCCTGAGGCAGCTTTGAACTATTCCTACACATCCTATCACTGGATCCTAGGGAGAAGGGATCAGCACCTCTCTCTCCCCTTCCCCTCCTCAGGAAGCTGCAGAGTGTAAGGGAGTTGTCCCTCAGTCTGTTTTTGCAAACTGGACAAAGCTAGAGCCCTCAGCCACCCCTCAGAGGACACACTTTCCAGCCTTCCTCCGGCTTTGTGGCCCTCCTCTGGATGCATCCAAGGACCTTCACATTCTTCTTAAATCACAGGGCCCAGAACTTCACACTCTACTCAAGGTGAGATCTCCTTTGGCCTCTTACATTTGACAGTGCTTCCTTCCCTACAGGCTGCTCTCTAGAAGATGATGATGAGTGTTCCATTGATTGCTCTCTGGATTTGTTATTCATTTCTGTATCAAAAGTATTTTCGTCTTCTCCAGTCCACCTGCTCAGCTGCTTATCAACCAGCCTGTCAAGAAGCTGGGGTAGGTGATCTTCTTCAATTGATATTATTCTTTGGAGATGTGATGTTTTAGGCATTCCTCCAGTGACTCCAGCATCAGGCTCTTCAGAGAGAACTCCATTCAGTCCACCAGAATTCCTTCTCTTTGAGTTACTGAAAACATCATCTTCTTCAAATGAATGGCTAGACAGAGAAAGAAGAAAATACATCACAGGAATATAATGGACCTGCTATTTTATTCTGAATTTAATCTGAATAACTGAATTTGATCTCCCATGTTTCTGATTAGTTATAGCAGGCAGAGAAGAGTCATTCCAGTGTCTGCTGAAAAGTCAGCTCATCATACCAGGTATATATATATTGATAATTACAAGCATCATGGGGAAAGCTAATAACTTCCAGGAGAAACCTTAACCAGAAATGAAAATATTAGATTAACATCAATTCTAATCTCATAGAAGAGCTAAAGTAAATTTCTCTACTGTGATTTTCTCCTTTCCAACCTTCACTCCTATTCTGAAGGAATAAAAGATACCACCAAGAGAGATCATTTCTATATGCAATCTGATTCTCTCTTTAGTAGATAGGAGGGACATGGGTTTGCTTAATATGGATAAAAACGTCCAAGTGGAGACTCAGAACTGTACCACATTGACATAGACTCGTGGGCAAGTTTTTGTGTCCCTCAGCCTACAGCCATCCACAGTGGGGAAATCTCTTGCCTTTGCAGACAGCACACTTGTTTTATGTTAAAATTTAGCTCTTCATTTTCAAATTTCTTAATGAACACAGTAATTTTATAGTGACAGACACTTAAGAAATACACTCTTTGAAAAGTTCAAAAATATCAGAAAGGAAGCATTCCACATCTTCTTTCTCTGAGCCTCGTCATACTCAGACAGAGAACACATGAAAAAAAAGTTCCTACCTGTTTGGCAGCATCTTGCCCTCTAAGTATTTCCCAATGATAGACCCTGATCTCTGCTTCCAGCTGGCTTTTGGAACAGTTGTTTTGCATTTCTGCAGAAATACAGAACACTTCTTACTGATTAGCTTCTGATGTTCGTTATGGTTAACTACCCTCATTCCAAATACTTAAATAATGCAATGCAAATGAAAGGAAAATATGTAGAAGAAAATCCTAAAGGTATAAATGCTTCAGAATTCCAATTGATAAACAATCAGAACAGGGAACTCCAGATTCTGCAAAAATGCATCTGCTTTGTAAATAAAACAGCACAATGCCATGAAAAAAAGTAAATGGGTATTTTTTTTTCACACAAGCAGCTTCTTGTAGGACTAAGTACACAAGCAAATATAAACTAAGTGGCCTTAGTCTTCTTACACCAGGGTACTTCTAGAACATCTTAGGGGTCCATTCTTTGCTGCTGCTTAAAAAGTTAATAGGATCTGCTCTCACCCCAGTTCAGGTACTGAAGTACTCAGGTACTGATTCAGGTACACCAGTTATTGTATACTGTTGTATAAATGTGTCAGGACATTACCGAGTGTTGACTGGGTAAATTAACACAATTTAAATGTTCAATTTTTAGGTTATTTCATCCCTTCATGACTGCATCCTTTGTTTCTTCTAAAATACATTCATCTCTCTTCAGATAGCTCCCACTTTATAATTCTCAACATGTAGTTATTAAAATTGTTTAGCAAATTTAAAAACATCTTATTTTCAAGTGAGAAGACAATACAAATTAAGAACAGGATAAGATTTAAGTGGCATGAAAGTCCATCTCCTGCATAGCCTTCTGTTCCCCTTCTTTTGAAGCTGCTCTCATATGTGTCTGTTCAACACTGGGTTTGAAAATAATAGTTGGTTACCTGCAAAAATATGTCACGTTCATCCTTGAGATGTTTGTTCCTCTCTCTGCACAGAAAACACAAACAAAAGGAACACTGAAGCCAAGTATTTAGAACTGCTGACTTTTCTACTCCACAGTAACAGACAGACTGGACAGTTGGCAGTGCAAACCTTTCATCATCCTTTATTTATATTCTCACCTCGGCCAGTTCCTTGTCTGGGCTATTGATTCTCCAGCAGGGCTATGCTGATTAAAGCCAGATGGGATCTGGATCTCTTCCTGTATTTTATCTAAACAAATGCCTTAACACATAGAAATCAGTTGTGGTCAATATGCCTTCACATACTGTAAATTAGAATGTTTAATGATTCTCACAGTAAAGATGACCTCTTAATGTGGAGAGGGTGCACTGAACACCATCTCTTGTTCATCTGCTGACAGCTGTGAAGGCCAGTTATGCCCCTCTGAGGACTGCACTTGTGGCTGCCACAGAAAAGTCACCCTAGGAAAACATCCATCTTCCATCCTTTGTGCAGAAACAATGAAAGTGTCAAGAAACAGGTACTCCAGGCAATCAGCAAGCTCTGATCAGATCTGACAGCACACCTGCTTAGTACATCATCTATTGTCTCCATCTGTTGTTGGCCTGGCCACAGGAGAGACTGAGCAGCCAGGGTGAACAGAAAAAACCTCTGCTGCCAGATGTTTCTATGTCCCCAAAACTTGCAGCAGGCAAGATCACAGAGTGGCCTATGGAAAACACATGCTGCAAAATAAGAGCCTTTCCTCAAGTCTCTGAAACATTTAGGCAACTTTAAAATGAGACCTCCTGAAGGAAATGCAGCCAATGAAGGCCTAGAGGGAGGTGCAACCTACAGCCCACACTGACTGACCACTGAGCAAACAAAACCCAACATTGCTTTACCTTTAAAAGAGGGCTACAGGTGTCTGAACACTGCTCCGAACTTTGAAGTCTATCAATAAAGGAATGTCAGCTATGTACATTTTGGAATAATTTACAAATATTCTGGGGAAATAATCTTCATTTTGCCTCACTTCCCAGCACTTGAGAAGCAACAGAGCCTTTCAGCAAGCTCCTGGGGCCAGGCTTCTACCTCAGAATCAGCTTAGAGCTGTTCAGTCCTGCTCTGTTTTACATTTGTCTTTTGGAAAGGAGATTGTCCTACAGTACTGAATTGTGTAAACAAAAATATTTTTCAGATGTGCTGCCCTCTACTCAATGCAAGAACCAACCATTGTAACCATTTTTACTATTTTTGTGCCATTATCCTGTGGCAGTTGACCTTGACTGGCTGCCAGGGAAGATAATAACATGGAAAAGCTTGTGGGCCAAATAAAAACAAGAAGGTTACTTACCAGCTACCCATTACAGACAAAACACTCTACTGCAGGATGATGAAAAATAGAGACAAAACTAAAATCACCTTCTCCACAATCCCCTTTCTTCTCAGGCTCAACTTCACTCCTACACCCTCAGCTCTTCCACCTCCTTAACCAATCCTGAGTGGCACAAGGGGATGGGGAATAGTGGAGCTTCTGATCAGTGCATAACAGCTTCTCTCTGCAGCTCCTTCCTCCTCACAGTGTTTTCTTGCTCCAGTGTGAGTACCCTCACACAGGTTACAGTCCTTCCCAAACTCCAGCACAGATCCTTTCCATGGGGAATAATCTTCCAGGAATGGACTACTCCAGCGTGGGTCCTCCATGGGCCACAATTCCTGCCAGAAAACCAGCCCCTGCATGGACTCCTCTCCATGGACCAAGTTCCTGCCAGATGTCTGCACTTGTGTGGAGTCTGCACAGGCTACAAGGGACTCTGCCCCAGTGGTACCTGGAGCACCTTCTATCCCTCCTTCTTCACTGACCTTGGTGCCTGAAAGGCCTTCTCACATATTTTTTTCTCTCTTCTCTCCCAGCTGCTGTGTTGTTTCCCACCCTTTTCTTACTGAGTCTTTCCCAGAAGCACACGGGGACTGTGGGGCTCCACTGTGCCCTGTGCTGTGTCCATTGTCACAGGACAGCCCTGGCTTCTCTCTGGCACAGAGGCTGCCATGTGGCACCCCACTGTCAACACCTTGACACTTACAGTCACTCACTACATATCTCAATATAATTTCATCCTTTAATGGGCCTCTTTAGAATTACATAAGAGGTTTTTGGAAGATCAACATTACCTTAAAAAATCCAGCTGCTTCAAAAGTCCTGACTTCTCTCTCTGTAAGGTTTCTGTCACCCGGTACACCTCCCTGAAAAAAAAAAAAAAAAAAAGTTCTATCCATGGTTAGAACACTGCTAAAACGCTTCCCCCCAGGGGTATCTACATTAGAGACCTCAGCTTCTTCAAAATTGTAGATTCTATTCTGCATGAATGATTAATATTTTAAAGAAGTTTATTCAGTATAAGGCCCACATTAGCAGAGCAGTACAAGTTAGCAGAGGAAGGAGTAGAGGTTCTTTTTTCAAAAAATATTGCTTTTTAATTTCTTCATTCAGAGAGTTTAATATATGTTGATACTGGCACTTGGAGCATTCAGAACAGAAACACTGCTAAAATACTTCTCAGTTATGGCCACTACAAAACAGGTGACATTTTATCCGAAATTAGAGCTTATCCTGCTGCAGGAACCATATGTCAGGCTCTCACATCTACAATCCCTATAATTTCTTTTCAATTCCTGACACTTATGCAGCCATTTTAACACCATTTACTTTGATTTAACACGATTTGGTGTCTGGCCTTTAATGGTTTTTTTCGCCTTTCAGTGAAGCCTCAAGTTCTTCCTGTGCACTGTCTGAACATTACACCTGCTTCAGCAGCTCAGGTCTTACCAGACTGACACAGATGTTTAAAGCAACACTGCAGGTGCAGTTGAGTAGGGCTGAGCTCTAATTCCATAAACCACTATTGAATCCAAAGTGCTTTGTAAGTGCAGTAGTATTATTCAGCAGTCTGACCACTGGGCAGATTTCCTTTGTAGCTTTTAAACCAGATCATTCCATAGTCTTTGCTCTGGATCTGAAAAGAGAGGCCTCAAAGAGGAAACAAACCACCTTGAGGAGGAGTATTTCTACTGTCTACTTCCAAAACACACACCAAACATGCAAACCTAAAAATTCTAATCACGGTGGCCATTCTTTAACACTAATTTATCAACAAAGTTCTTTATTTTTACGCTCAAGAAAAATTAAGGAAGTGACAACTTAATAGAGCTTGGCACAAATCTTAAGAGAAAAAGAATGTGACATTTGAACTAATGTTCTGCTCTATCTTGAAATATGTCAACCAGCAACAGCTCTGAATTATATAGTTCATTGCTGCAATGAACTGGGTCCATCTGTCATTCATGTGTTCTCCTTTGGCAATAAGAGGCTTCTACAGATCCCTGAGCATTTTCTTTAAAATAGACTTGAGTGAACATTTCTGCCAATTACAGCCTCAAGGCAGTGATTCTTCTGCTTTGTGCAGAAGGCTGGAGCAAGACAGGTAGCTTGAACTGTCACAAGTCATTTTTATCCCTCAAAATATGAATCATAAATATTTCTTCTTGAATTTTTTTTCTTTTTTGGAGTCAGAATCTGAAACCTTCAACATTTGAACTGAAAACCCCAAAATCATGGTTCTGAATTGCCATAAAGCCTCGTGGGAATTGGGATAAGCTAAATTTTATCTTGCTGGCCTTACTAGGCTTACTTTTGATGAAGGAGAAAAAGAAGATCTCAGGTATCTCAGTCAGAGTGCATTCTGAGAAGCAAGTTTCAGATAGACTCAGCTTTGAGGAGGATGAAGCATCATGTGCCACAACTGTAAGGCATTTCCATAGGGAATTCCACTGGTATCTCAAAACTAAGACACTACATGAATTTTTAATTCCAAATACCCTCAACCAGTGGCAGTAGGGAGAACACTGACATTTTGAACACGTAGCAAAAGATTCCACAGAAGCCAGATAGGCTACAGAAAACATGCTGAATTACTTGGGGGAAAGCAGCTAGAACTGCACTCAGCTTTGCAGGTAGTTTCTGCTTTTGACACAAGCTTAAATCACAGCACTGGGTACCCTGAGGGGGCTCACTGGCACAGCAAGCAAGTGCACAAGAACTGCTGCAGCTGGACACTTACATTTCCTTCTCCTCATGGAGCCTTGATGCCTCCTCCTGAAGCACCTGCAGCTGCTGTTGAGCCAGGCTTAGCTCATGGGATGTTCTCTCCAGGTCTCTCAGCAGCTCCTGGTTAGTCAGCTTCAGCTTGGTGTTCTCTACTCTGGTTTCTTCTTTGCCACTGAGGAGTTGTGTACACTGATGCTCTAACTGGGGTGGAAGAAAAGAGAACAGAAAGCATTACACCTGACTCAGGAACCTTTGTTTTGAGGCTTTCAGTTTGGGTCTTAGAGGTTAGCTGAGCGGAGAGCTATTTCTATCAAAGCCAAAAAATGAATAAAACACATATGGTGCTCTTCCACTGCTCTTTGTACAGACATCATTATGTTACACAAAAACAAAGCCATTCCGTTCTATGACTGAATTTTATCCAGTTCAAGAACACAGCAGTAAAAACCATAAAAAAGGTGCTACACAGCAGATTAGCAGCATTAAGCTGATATTCACAACTGCTATTTTAGACCATTCTTCACAAAGACCAGGCCTACACAGAGTGATTCAGAGATCTACCTAAAAACTGTTAGATTTAAATCTGATAGCTGATAAACCTTCCCATCCCCAGCAATATGAACAAGCAGCAACCTTTTTGCCACCTCAGACAGATCTGCCAAGAATTGTGAATTAGAGCCTTTTTATTCAGTTCTATATTCCCTCTCCAATGTACATCAAAGGAAAGATACAACTTCCCTGTAAAACAAGCAACAGCAGATGATAGTGGTTTCTGGTACATAAAGAAGTTTTACCTGCTTCTCCCTGGCTAACTGAGCAAATTTAGACAGCAGAGCAAAACTTTGTATTAGGGAAAGCATTGCTGACCTTAAAATAGAAAAGTTTTATTTTCTTATTTTTTTTTTTTCTGTATTCATTTTAAGGGATGTAAAACATACTTGGAGCATTACAATGACACCATTTCAATCTTCCAGATCTGAGACATAACAATGTCAGAACTCTCATTTTGCCCATCCCAACAAGCAGAGCTCACCCAACCAAAATCTGTCCTCACCCAGCTCTTCCAGTCAGTTCCTACCCTAGAACACTGCTGTTGTTGTAGTCCTGGTTTTGAACGAGGCCCAGGTTAAAAATAAGTGCAGAAAATAGTTTCTAGCCTGGACTGTGAGAAGTCAGGATCACATGTAGAGTGGGAGCACTTAGCAGCAGCAGCAGCAGCAGCAGCAGCTTAATGTCTTAGCAGAACTGTAGCCTCAGCAGGCTCACATTTCCCATGGAACACTGGCTGGGCATTAGATTACTGCTGAACAAGGTTGGCTTACAGGGATAGATTACGTCAGCTCCTGAATATTGCTTCTGCTCCTCGACAGAACAAAGTTACCCCTTCTAAGTAAAAGATGAGCTGCTTCAGGTACTTAAGACAAGATTCATCCAGAGGAGTGGCTTTGGGAGAAGCAAAAAGTGACCACACAAAGATGAACTTTCAAAAATCTAAGGAGCAAAAAGCTGCAGACAAAAACCCCACTTAGAGAACAGAATGGCCATCTGAAAACTTACACAGAGACTGTTCTGGATATGTAACACAATGGCAGCCAACATCAGCTCCCAGAATCATCTGTACTGATGTTAGAAATACTTGCTATAAATGCTGGTGCTCACTATTGTCAGAAAAATTATAATATAATGTCTAAAACCCAGAACACAACAAGAGGAGAAAGGATTGTTTCACAGCAATACAAAGCTCCCTTCTTTCACTTTACCCTTTGAGGGTACAATCCTTTGAGAAATGCCAAACACTACCTTTAAAGTATTCTTCTAAACAACTCCCAACACAGAGAAATAACTCACTAGGGGAATGCTCAGCTGGTAGTAGAATGGCATAGATCCTATAACTTCTAGCTGCTTACTAGGGCTGCAAATTGGTCCCTATGTTCATCTGGTAGACGGAAACTGCAGGGGAAAGACTCATGGCCCATAGACATGTTTAAGAAAATCTAAGTAGCAGAGAGAATTAACCCATTTCTACAGGTCAAGCACAGACATGGTAGTTGATGGTGCATTTTCTCTTTTTGACAAAGATGAGAGGGAAATCAAGTTCAAGCTGAATGAAGAACTGGGGTTATCAAATGCAAATGAGCTGGTGTTGAAGACATTTATTGGTGTCCCCACACATTGACCACTCTCTGTACAATCCTTTGTTCTTAGCTCAGCATCCTTTCTGTAGGTTTTTTTTTCCCTCCCTATTTATTTCAGTAGCATGTGAAAGATGTAAAATTTATACAGTGCCACAAGGCAGTTATAATCACTTGAATGCTACTGATCCATGTTTTTATGCATCTCATTCCCAATTCCAAGATTGTGCTCTTCAGCGGCTGCCTCAGCACAGAACCCAGCATTTTATGTGAGAAGTCCAGTAACTCCCCTGCATTTCACCTGGTCCACACCTGCTTTCTTCTCTCACACAAGAGTCTGTGCCCTAGAGGTTATGCTGGATATCCTCTGTCCCCACTGCCTCCTCATGAGATGTTCCAGCTGACATCCCTTGAGGAGCAATGCCAGCCAGACAACCCTCATAAGGGAAAATCCCTCTGGCTTTGTCAGAGGAAACAACACAGAACTCATCCAGTTTGAAATCTCCTTTTCATATTTTTGTTAATGATTTCCAACACAAAAACAATTACATTGTATTTTAAATTTTAAAAAAAGACTTATTAATGAAGTTTGGAAAAAAGCATTTGTGTTGCTCCCAAGAGGTTCTCTCATACAACCAAGCATAGAAGTCATAATTAAATCAAGCTACCTTTACTGTATGCAAGAAGAGATTTAATTATCAAAGTATATTTCCATGCCAGAGGAGGAGGCAAAAGTGAAAGAGATCTCTGGATAAGGCAAACATTAGACACCACTCATGGGTATCTCAGTGAATGAAAAGCAATACCAGAAAATGAGTGGGGGACACAGTATTATAAAAGCAGATCTGAGTAAAGATGAGAATCATTTTCAGAGAGGATCATTAGAAATCAGAAAAATACATGTAGAAAACAGTGCCTCTAACTACAGTGAGTAGAGCACTCAAATAAATAGGCTAGGTTGGTATACCAGAAAAAAACCCCATCAAATACTGCGTATCAGATTAACAAAGGGCCAATCAGCTGGTTGAATGCCAAAATTCAGCTGTCATCAATCATCTGAATTAAATTATGTCATCTCAGCATTAGAAATAGTGAATTCCATTCATCCAACACAGATTCCTTTCCATAAAACCAAAATGGGATAGTTTAATTTTTATGGTGTATGAAGAGTCTGTCTTTCAAAAGCACTCTTGTTGTGATTCATGCAAATTCATAATGGAGAGGGGAAATGATAAATACTAGAAATTACAAATTTTAAAAACCCACAGTAACATTATTAATAATAAGCAATGTAGCAAACAGAAATGGAAAACATAAAATCAGATTAAAAAATAATACTAATAAAAATAGCACAGACATTGTTTTATGTTCTCCAAGATAGGCAATAGTAGACAATGGCATTTTAGACAACAATCATAAGATAAGACTTCCTGGTATTGTTGCCTATATTGATTGATTATACCAGGCTTAAAATTGAGTGAAAGCCTTTGAATAGCTTCTGTGGGTTTTATATCAAATTTAGAAAACACGTACTTGATTTAAAAAAAGAAGAGTTTTTTACAGAATTACTGGTTGACAACCAAGTTTTAAACAGAGCTTTAAAGCAAAAACAAACAAACAAAGTATTAAATGTAATCATTAGAAAATTAGAATAAGTAATTTCTTATACTTTCACAGTTCGTTTCAGACTAAAAATGCCTGATCTGTATGCCTCCACAGATATCTTCAAAGTATAAGTTATTCCATTACAGTGCTGCAATGTGGTAAAGAGCCTGAATAAAACCATATATATTCTGATTCACAGTGGCACTGGACAAAGGTAATTAACACCAGGAAGTTGATTTCAACTATGGAATAGATTTTTAGTTCAGTCCTGCATTCTTATCAGCTAAACTTCACAGAATAACAGAGTACCAGGTTGGAAGGGTAACTCAAGGTTTGTCTGTTCCAATCTTTTTTGGCAAAAATTCAGTTTAGCCGAGATGAGCCAGCATCCTGCCCAGCTAAATCTTTAGTGTCCAATGCTGGGAAATCCACCACTTCCTCAGGAAGTTTATTCCAGTGGCTCATGGTTCTCATTGTGAGAAACCTTCTTCTTTTTGTCCACAAATTCATATTCTACAGAGGGAATTGTGTTTAGAGCATTCCGTGTCAGCCCTTTAAATGCCAGTGCTACCTCCTTTCCCTATTGCTAGTCTTTCCTGCAATGACCTTGGAGCCACTTTACAGCAAGTTCCCTGCTCCCCCAAGCAGGCCATGCATTTTAAAGCAAAACACCTCAGGTTTTATTATGGGAACTTGACAAGCTGTTACCAATGCAAGGGAAACATGCACTGCTATAAAACTGTTATCACAGAGATATATCAGGACCAAGTTGTTCAGGAGGGAGCATTTTGAGTTCATAGTGCTGAATCAGTCCAAAACAAGTAAATTAGTGGCTGGTACAGGCTTTGAGCAGAGGTGTGCTCTAGAAGAGCCAAATCATTGTTCCCTGCTCTTAAGTTGTCTGCTTGTTAAGCCAGTTTGTAAAAGACTGAAGGCAGTGGAATTATGCTACATTTCCATAAAAATTAACCTAGTACCTGGGGAGAATATGCAATACATTATTTTATTCTCCATTTTACCACATAAAAGGAAAACTACAAGAACAACAGAGGGTCACAATTTGGCAGAACCACATTACACCAACTTGCAGTTTTGGAACCTAAAATAGTACCTAAAGAAAATCATATGAGCAAATAAGAGCCATCTATTTTTTAACCCCAAAAGATATCAGTTAGTACCCTTTTCTGTTTTTGAACCAACTGTTCCAGTTCTTGTTCTTTTGACAGCAGCTTGCGCTCCAGCTCTTGACTGTGGGACTGAAACCTCTCTGTGTCCTGCAAAATTCCAAGAGAAAATGGATTAACTGAACAGCACAATTGCATCACAGGAGGAGAAGAATGAATTGGGGATTAAGCTTCCCACAGTGAATATCACAAGACACAGGTAGTACTCAGTTTAGGGATGGCATCACTCACGAATCTCTAAATTATTGTAGTCCAGCAGCTTCCATGACTGTGGTTGCTACAGAATGTGCTGATTGCACATGAGTAGGTATTGAGTAGGTATTGAGTCTAGAAAGTGGAGGCAGACATCTCAGGCAGGAGGCTGAGGAGCTGGGCCAGTCTAGATCAATGCAGCCAGAATGTATCCTCTCATTTCCAGCCACAGCAACTCAGGCTGATGTGAAAGAAACAGCAACTGCCACGCTTCAAATCCATCACTAACATCAATTTTTCACAGATGTTCCACTGGTATAAACAAGAAACTGGGGCTTCAAGCTCTGCCTTTCACTTATCAATTTTATTAACCTGTCCACTATCCTGCAGTCACTGGGAAGCTCCCAGTCACATTTGGGATTACTTCTTCTGACACTCCTCAGCTGACAAAAATTGTCAGCCCTCTCCTGAGTAAAATCAGGTTCCAAAAGTTTGTATCAGCTGAGAATCTGTCCTGTTTCTCCAAAATCAGGCTTTTACTCTCTAAGGTCCCCAGGAAAATATCTTTAAACAAAAATAGAAATTCCCTCATGACAGCAGTGGTTCTTACAAGTGTTTTCCCTTAAGCAGTACATGTAATGGGGTAATGAAATGCATGGTAACTGGCTCTTTCTGGGGAAGAATATATATGCAAGTGAAAAAACAGACTAACTGCCCCTTTTGTGTAGCATTCAGTCAGCAGGGTATTAAGTATTGTAAATAGCTACAATTTGTACTTATTTGCATCTTACCAATTTCTTTAAATGTATTCTTCAAGAGCTGCTCTTCATTCAAGCCACAATAATTTCCCCTTTATATGGCATCAATGCATCTCTCCAGGCTATAAAGTCTTTGTAAGACTTTGCATTAGAGAAAGAATTTAACAGTCAGATCTCCCCGGATCTCAAATTAGTCATGCAAAGAAACAATACTTCATGAGTGTCTGGCAGCCCTTAGTGTGACTGCTGACTAAACTGTAAATAGCTTGAGTGGGAAGCTTTCATGAAAAAGCCTGAAAGAAATGGCTTAACCTCAAATATACAGCTAATTAGGAGATCCAACAATCATTGCTTATGGAAAAGTCTTTGTTGTTTGGGGGTTTTCAGTACCACTGCAGTTGTGGACTATTAAGAACACATAAACTATTTGTTCCACAAAAGTGCTCTCAGGCAAAGTTGCAAATACTTTTTATCCTTCAGCTGGTATACAAACTTTATTTAAAGGTTTCATCTCATCCACCACTAAAAACTGTTCTCAGCTTGTAATGGAAAAAAACTTGAAAATTTGAGTCAGATTCACTACCCAGCAAGGCAAGTGAAAAGAACTATTCCTTAGACAGCTGATAAGGCACTTTTTTGTTCTTTTTTCTCTTTCTTTTTCTTTTATTTTATTTTGGTTGCCAGGGAACAAAAAATACTTGATATATTTGCATCACAAAAGGAAGCTTGAGATACATTTGATTATATTGTCTAGATATATTTATACATACTTGATTGAGAATGGAGGCAATAACCACTATTTTGGCAACTATTTCTATCATGTATTGCTGAAACCTTGTATTTGTTCCATTTATATGACTGATAGCAAGACAACAAAAAGGGATGAGCCAATATCTCATGACTGACTGTCCCAGGCCACCCAGAGCAGCTGTGGAACCTCCAATATTTTAATACTCAAAACATAATTGCCCAAGTTCCTGAGCATCCTGAAGTAGCTAGGAAGTAACACGTCACCTGCCCACCTACAAGATTCTAAGGTGACTCTTTCCTGAAGCATGCTGGAAGTCCTTGTTAGTTTCCTAATTTTACTAGAAAAAGAGGAAAGAAGCAGGAAAGAAAAATCCAAAGACCACAGGCACAGTAGAGGAGATTTAAAGACAACTTCCCAAGAAAAGGGAATTCATCTTCAGGTGTTTTGGAAGCACCATGGCAGTGACAAGAGATTCTGCCCCGCGTTTATTTTGCAAATAACCTGTAGTTGTTGCGCAAATTACCATCATTTGATTAATCTCTTGTCGTTATCCCCTCCCAAAAATCAGAGAACTCAACAGGATTGGTGCTGCTCTGAACAACATCACGGAACGCTTTTCCTGATTGTGACCAGAAGCTGGACCTAAAGTAGCACCAACAAGACAATGTTTGTAGTTCAAGTGACTTTCAAAAGAATGCCAGCTGTGCTGTATGACAGCCACTGAGCACAGGACATCACAGCTCCTTCATCCAACAAGTCACGTTAAGCTTGAAGCTGCAGAGACTAAAAGTTTGAAACAGCAGCACAAAAGTAGCTGTGAGGTAAAAGATGGTTTTTTTCCCTCTGTTGTGAAACACATTTTGTGGGCTTTAATTTCACACCCAGAACGAGTTTAAAACCACAGAAAAGGGGAGCAGGATCCATGGCCGCTATAACAGAGACACTCACTTTCAAGAGAAACTGCTCTTTCTCCTTTTTGATTTGCTGTTCCATTTCCTCATAGAGGTGTTGAATTTCTTCATCATAAGCAGCAATTTTCCTAATAAGAGATAAAAATACACTGAATGGCTCTTTGCAGCATTACTTCAACTCATGGCCCACATTACCAGCTAAGCTCCACATCTCTGCCTTAACACAAGACTCCAAAGAATGTTCTGGTGTCAAGGAAATAGAAATTTTTGTGCAGCAAAGCTCACAGATTTATTTTTTTTTTCTCTCATGGAAGTAAAGCTTCAGTAGCTCAAAAGCTAATATAAAGCTGATGTTTCCATATAAAGCAACTGTTCATTATGCAATTTTAATGACTGCTAGATCATAGGTATAAGGAAGATTTTCCTAATGACAGTAGAAGATATCAGAACCTAAATTTGACAGTTAAAACTATTTTCATGGCAACTTCCTTTTTTTGCTGCTGGACTGCACTGTTGCCCATTCAAGGGTACTGAATGAGGTACTTCTGTCTATGACACATTAGCTAGAATGGAATTCTTGAAAGACCTTCTTGAAAGCAGCCTTACTGCCTCTCTAACTGCTTTGCTGAAATAAATTTGAAAAGGCCAGATGAAGAACAGAAATAAATATGCTGTGCACAACTACAGGAAGAAAAAAGAACAACCTAAAAAGTTAACTTTTTTCCAGTGGAATATTGCAATTAATATCACTGCAGTTTGATCCATGAAGGATTACATAAAGCAAATGTTTTTCTTGGACAGAAAAAAGTTAACTGTTGACAGAGAACAAGATATCTGCTTTGTTCTGCTACTATTCTATTCTATTCTATGCTCATTAATCCAGACACTGAAAAGCAAAAATATCTTTGTATCAAACTCAGGGGACATCCCAGAATAATTTTTTTATAGTGATTATTAGGAACGTTATCTGACAGTACTGTATATTGCCTCATATCCTTCCTGCCATAGCTGTTCCTTGAGCAATTTGCATAATGCATCTGTCACAAATAAAGTACCAAATTTTCAAGGGCATTCACATCAGCAAGAGCAAGACAAGGAACATGCAGTAGAAAAAAAACCCCAACATTTATTTTGTATCTACTTTTTTTTTTTTTTTTTAACCCAATACAGTACATATTCTATGTTTTCCCTTATTGAAGGCCTGGTTCACTTCTAATTTAAAACAAAGCCAATTTTAAAGAAAATCCAAAAACTTTGCCTAATCTAAGAAGAGTGAGTAAAACCAAACAAGTCTGTCGTTCCCTCTTTCAACAGCAAAACACCTGACACTGCCAGTTCGTTTCTTCAGTCCCAGGTAAAAAAATGTGAGACATTTTCCCAGGATTTACAGAAGCAATAAACAACTGTCAAGCTACAAGGATTGGAGGAAAACAATGGCTGTCACTTAGACTTTCGTAAACTCTGACTAGGTGAGAAAACCAGGCTCCAAAAGGGCCTCTGCCATGTGACTGCAACATTTCAAATAGAGAGTGCCAGAAAATCCAGAAGCCCTTTTTGCTGCCTTACTCCCCTTATACTGTAACTATGTGCCATGGTCTGATCTCAAATTATTTTCTTGAAACGAAGAAAATGCTAATTTATTAAATTAGCACTCATCAATAGAATCAAATTACACAAATTCATAGAGAAAAACAACTACTTAGAAAGGCATGGCAGAGATGCTAGGACCATACACCTACTGTACTCAGGCAGTAAAATGTCACTTTGACCAGCACCAGACTGACTACTGAAAAGCCCTGTAACTTTGCAGAGGCAGAACACACTGCACAGCAGCCAGTGTTTCCATGGGAATCATAAAGATTTCCTGGGCTTTGGTGTGACAGGGAGAATAACTTTAGTCCTGTGTTTTAGCTTGCTGATTTTGGTATTTTTTTCCTCTAATGTGTTTGGAAGCAAAGGATACGGTAGCACCATGAAGACTACATCCTGAAAGCACTACTGAATGTAGGAATCTTTTCAGTTGCCCTGGCACATAAGCACATGTCATTTCTACAGGCTGAATACCCTCCAAGCATTTCATTCATGGATTTCCATTCATATCTCTGATCAAATTAAACAGAAGGGGGAAATATCCCCTCATCATCAAAAATCTAACAATTATAAGTAAAATAACTAACAAGCAGAAGAAAAAAAAATTAGCTGGCAAACATTCCCCACATATATTCAGGAGAAAAAAACCTGAATCAATAAGGATATATCATTTTTATGTGAAAAATGCAACATGTTTTTCTATTTCCTTAGATTACCCCTTCAAATTTTACTTAACACATAATTTTACAGTTTCAGTCATATTTGATAATTTAGTCTCTCCTTTCAGTAACACTGGAATAAACATATAGAGATGAAAGCAGACGAAATGTAGTGTGAGTTTACTAAGTTCAGATTGAGGATGAACACACTTACAAGGGTTTAATTTCTGCCCATTCATGTAGCTGCAATGTGAATTGTTTTGATTTCACAACTGCTGTCAGTGCAGTTTATCATAATGGTTCTTTCTCCTTAAAAAAATACAGTGATTTGTGCACAGTGTGAACTAATCTCCTGAGATGCTGATTCTCCTCATCTTCCACAAAGATGGATTCTGACACTCTCCCATGCTAAGTGAGAAGTCAGTTCATCCTTCCCTTCCCCTTTACCCTTCTGTTTATCTTGCCTGTTTAAAACTCTTGTTTGAAACAGAGTCTACATTTTTATTAGGTTTGTCCTTCAAATGCAAAGCACAGCAGCAGACAGAGCTAATGGCACTTAAAGATTTTATCTGCTATTAGAAGAAAAAGGTCTTTCTCATCTCTTTTAGCTTACTTCCTATCAGTCTTATTAAAAACCCCTTGGTTCTACTGCCAGGGATTTGAAGAACAACAAGGTCTGTCATATTCCACTCCAGCCTTTGCCTCCTCATTCAAGAGATACGACTTCTTAAAAATAGCTCTCTCAGAATAGCTGCTCTATTCCTTTAACCACTGAGTTGCCATTCCCTGCACTTTTCCTCATCCTACTACACTCTTCCTGTGTTGCAGAGACCAGAACTTCCCACAATGCACTCAGGACATGGGTGCACTAAGAGTCCATGTAGTGACAAAAATATGCTTTGCCACATGCCCAGTACCCTCCCTGGCAGTACCCAGCAGTTTACTGGGCCCTTCTGGCTGATTTTGGGAAGCTCTCTGCAATGCTCCTATGGGCTTTCTCTGGAATTGTAATAGCTCATCACAGAAGCATGATTTTATTTTCTTTTCCTAATGTTAATCTCTGCTTTTTTTGGGTGCTCAATACATCACCCTATTACTTAAGAAAGAACTACTGCTATGTTTAAGAAGCCATCTAATTTTAAACTAGCACTTAAAATGAAACACAAATACCAAAAATCAAGGAGAACTAACCTACCCTGGCAAATAAATAGTGCCCACAAAATTGAAAACCCCGGATTTTTTTTTCTTTTTTTCCCCTCTCTCTAGTTACATCAGTATCAACCTGCACATTCCCCATGAGTGCTGAATTTGCATGTTTGTGTATTGAGAATATATGTTCAGCCTCACTGCTGCCTGGACCTACAAACAGGAACAGCAGCAACCTACTGGATCTATTGAGCCAGAACAGGAGGAAACTCCTGGATCCCTCAGACCACAGGATTCAGGTTCAAGAATGAAAATATGCACAGGCGAAAGGTCCAGAAGAAAAGACCAAAAAAAAAAAAAAAAAATAGAGAAAAACATCATGGGTGAAGAGCATAGATTTTTATGGCATAAAAATCCTAGTAAATGCACATGAAGCTTCTGAGGGCATCCAGGATAGAAGAAAAAGGAACAATTGAAGACAAAAGCACAGCCTACACCCAGGAAATGAGACAAAAGGCTGAGAGTAGACTGCCTTATTGCCTAATGACTCACAGAGGTGAGTCAGGAAGGAAAGACACAGGAAGGAAAGATGAAAGATCAAAATCATAGTCAATTTCCAAAGAGTGTTATTGTCACAAATCAAGAACAACCCAGTAGACATTATAGGTCCTCAAAACCCAGCATCCCTTCTCTTCTGTGACCCCTCAGTAAATCCTGGCCAGTCTCTGCAGGTACATGCATCTTACTGCTAGTGAGTACGTGGGTATTAAAAAAAATTAATCTTCTCCCCTATATGGTGCTGTCTTGAGCTTTGTTGTGATTCATACATAGTTTAAAAGGAACAGGTTATTTATCCCCGCTGTTACTAGCAAAGAAAACATTACTACTCTGATTCCTTCCAGCAATCGACTACAAACAAAACAATCAACATGCTGAAATCAGTGGTGTTATCAGGAGCAACAAAAAGAAGAAATTAGCTAAAACATGTGTCTACTACAAAGGAATAAAAATCCAATGCACTTTCAAGGTAGAGATTTCACATCAGCCCTAAAAGATAATGCTAATGCACTCTCTGTACACCTCTGCACTGATCAGAACTATTAAAGAGACACATTTATTCATTCAGCTCCCAAAAAAACACTCACAAAAATCCCCAAAAAGCCTCACAGAACAAACTTCTCACCACACATGGTAGTTAACAATCTCTAGACTAAAACAGACAGCAAAACTCTCTGTATGCTGTTTCCAGCTGCCTGAAGGCTAAAACCACACACAGAGACTTAGCAGAAAATGCTACTACTAATCTAAACCAATTGTCTTTAATGATCATACATTTTTAGTTTTGTTCCTTCTTCATAAGCCTTGACAGATTCTCACAATAGTCAGGAGAGTGCTGAAAAAATGCAGTAAATTTTCAACAATATATTTGCCTTTATTGCTCAGTCTGTAAGAATCTGAAATTCAGAAGTAACACTTTAAAATAAAATACAGTGGAACTTCAACTATGCCCATAATTCTGCATTTTGTTAAGATTTAGCATCATAACTTTTCTCCCTCTAGATAACTAAATATAAAAGTATGATCTATTAATTTTTAGTTCTTATACATATTTTTGTATGTGTATTTTATGTATTTGTTTATATTTACATTTTATATATAAAACATATGTATGTTATTTACTGTATTTCATAGCTTTGCTTTATATATATTTGTTAACTTACATTTTCACTAGTATCAGTGCTTTGTGCTGCTCTAACATCTTAAACCTCTTATGTCTCTGGCCAGCTAATCCAGGTTTATAGCTTTTCTGCACGCAATGCTTGCAAAGCACACAGACAATTTATCAGATTTACTGTTAAATACAACTTTCCTCCGGAATCAAACTGATTAACTAGATTGGAATCACTCAATATTGTCTTAAAACTTAAATGCAATAACAGATATCTGCAAAAGAATTTCAGTCAATAAAATCTTAACTGGAAGAGAAAAGCTAATTTAATTCAGCTCTGCCATATGAATAGTTCTACGAGTAGTCTTAATGCCTGACAAAATTTTACATTATAGGAAATTTTACATTATGTGAAGTCTTGTCCTTCATTCTCCACTGAAATACCTTGTTTATTTCAGAAGTTCAAATAGCAGGTGAAATAGCTGTAAAACTACACAAGCAGTCTAACAAAGAGAAGTACTAACTTTTTTAGAGCACATTCCAACTCATTCTTCTCATTATCTGCTTCTTGGAGCTGGGAAAAAATTCTGACCAGGAACTCTTCAAAATTGGAAAGTAAATGAGGTTCTTCTTTTCTTAGCTGCAACCAAAGTTGCTTCACATCAGTCTCACTGCAAGAAAATGTCGTAAAGGATTCATTAAGAGAGAACATTTCCCAGGCTGCAGTAAATGTCCTTAGCACCCTTAGAGATCAAGGCTTCAGGGCAACACTAGTCAGAACACAAAACTTATTAGAAACAACTTAAACTGTGCCAGATTTGAAAAGGATGAGGGGGTGGGAAATTAGGGAGATTTAATTTATTTTTAAAAAAATGCGTTGCAACATCTGGCCATTCCTGACTGCACAATGGCACAGGAACTGCTTGTTTAGTGGGTGCCTTGCCAGACACTGCACCTAAACAGGAATGGGTAAGAAAGGAGACAGACGAGACACAGTGTGCCCTGCCATCACTTCTATTATAAGTAAAGAAGTTTCCACAGATCTAGAGGGGAGGGGGCAGTGGAAAAGCTAATCAAAATCCTTCCCTCATAAGAAATGAATGAGATTCAGACTTCTAAGTAACAAAGATATGTTAACAAACTGCATTTGTACGGCAATCTGTAATTTTCGATACATTTTTCTTCCATGGTGATTCTGCTACAAAAAGCAGAACAAAACATCTTGAAATTTTGATTTAAAGATTTACCAAGATAATGTTGTGTTTCCAAATCTGTTCAGCAGACACTGACAGCTCTATTGTGAATGATAATGGGTTTCTAATACTTTGCCAATATTCTCCTGAACCACTTTGTTTCTTCCTGACTCACTCTCTTCCATGAGCATTGCAATCCTGAACCTAGCCAGTAAAGAGTGCTGTATTTAAAGGACAAAATGAGGATAAGGATAGAAAAAGTGGGTGATAAATATCTCTTCATAATGAAAGACTTTCAGGATGGACGACAATGTACTGTTTCCTGGAACAGGCAGTCAGGGGAAGAGAAGGACAGATGAGCACTTTTGTCCATAGTAAGAATCACTGATGTATTTCTTAAATATTTGTATCACTTGTCTAGATTCTCTCCCATTTTTGCCCAATTTTTTTTTTGTTCTACAGTATTTACTGTATTTACAGTATTCATTGTGATTGAACAATGAATGTGAGGCCAGCACACAAGAAGTTCTTTGAGCAGGTTTTATGCTCCATGTTTCAGAGTGATCCATCCTGGCCTTGGAAGAAGCAGCATTACCAAAGCAATTACAATATACAATTAGGCAAGAAGAGGAGGAAAAGCAGAAAAAGTGGAAAAAACTTCCCTATTATGGTGCACTTTAAACACAGGCCTTGCCAAAAACAGCAATCAACACACATTGATTGAAAATCAGTGACATCTGTGGATGACATGCTTGTAATTATCTACGTTCAGATCACATGGCAGAAAAACACGTTTCATGTGCCTGGAGTATAACAGCTTTGCTCATGGAAACTTGGTCAAATGGCATTTTATCATGACAGCAAGAAAATTAGTTTTTAAAAGAATCTCTGTGGTTTTGAGCAGCTTTTGTTCTTGCCATCCATCTTGAATTCCATTAAAATCAAACCCAGAGGTGAATCATAAAGGGTCACACAACTGATTACTATTGCTGTGAGAACTCACTCATCCAAAACCTTCGCAGCTCCAAGCCGATCCATGAGATTTGAGAACTGGAATTCTTCATCCTCTTCACCACTCATGGTCTCTTCGTATCTAACTGGGCAGGCTGTTTCACCTTCTGATGGTTGCACCATGTCATTTTTCAAAGCAATCTGCTCCAAAAGAAATTGGCCTAAGAATTAGAAATTACACACATTAGCATTTTCAGAAATTATTATAAGAAGCAATGTCATACTAAACATACTAAAACTCAAATTTTATGGTAAATAAAAAAAAAGGATGAGGCATGACAAGAGGATCCCTGAGTTCTATGGCTGGCTTTGTGCCCAGTTTAATATCTAATCTTCAGTAAATAACGCAGCTCAAAATTCACAACCAATGAAAAAATTCATATCTCCATGCAAAAACATAAAAGGGCATAAATTGCAATAATAACTCTTCATAAATGTTGTGGTTTTCTTTCTTGATAAGTTTAAATAGATTAGGAACCTGAAATATCAGTACTGATAAAATGTATATTAAATAAAATTTAACATTCTTTTTAGTGCATGACCAAAGACACACATTCAATTCCTATATAAATTGCATACAGGAAGCTACATTTTATTAACAGTGGTTGTATGGTGAGGATGCAGAAGTGAAATTGTCACATGAATAATCAATACATTTGTACTCATTTGCCACAGACTCTTCATAAATGTTGTGGTTTTCTTTCTTGATAAGTTTAAATAGATTAGGAACCTGAAATATCAGTACTGATAAAATGTATATTAAATAAAATTTAACATTCTTTTTAGTGCATGACCAAAGACACACATTCAATTCCTATATAAATTGCATACAGGAAGCTACATTTTATTAACAGTGGTTGTATGGTGAGGATGCAGAAGTGAAATTGTCACATGAATAATCAATACATTTGTACTCATTTGCCACAGACCAGATACATTCCATCAAATGCCAAATGTACCATCTATTTTATTTTAACATCCACAAGTCAAAATTTTTTGGGGGGAGGGGATATTGTGATTTTTTGCAGAGGGTTTTTTTATTATATTCTAAGTTCCAGTAGAGAAATTTCTATAGATCCAAGGAAACAGAAACACTGGTGTGGTTTTATGTTTTTCTTAACTCCATCTTGCATTTTTTCTCATAGCACCCAACAGAGCATGTTGGCAACAAAACAAAGGAAGGGAGTATGTTGCAAAGAAGGGTTACAGTAAATTTCAGATTTGCCACCATTTAGAAACAGAAACAGGACTCTCTCATAGTAATTGGTGCAGCATGAGCTTTATCCTGACATTACTCTGCCTCTTCAAGCAGCTTTTATCTACTACAGCTTCTGCTTCTACCAGGAATGCCAACACCATCACGTAGCCAAATGTAGGATTAGCTGGCCTGAAAAATACCAGTCAGCGCTGTGTAGCAGGTTAAGATGTACAACGCTTCACACTGTCCATCTTGTCCTTTACGTGGTGTGGTCCATGTCCTTTGTGTGCCTGTGTGGGTGTCTCTGGGGTACGTGTTTAACTTTACTACCAGCTGAACCTGCAAACAGGGAAGCAGTGGCCACATCCACCTGGGCCTCTGCACTGGGCTCCAGCACCCGAGCAGGAGGAATCCCCAGGATCTGGAGCTGCTTGAGATGGCAGCCACTTACAACCTCCTTCAAGAAAGAGTTTTGGTTATGCAGGAACTGCTTATGGAAGGAATCTTAATTTAACTCATGAAAAGCAAAGCATCTATTATTTCATTTTTTAATAATGTCAACTTTCAGATTAGAGTATACCCTGTGAAGATACTTGATCTACCTCTACAATGGGAGAGGTGGCTGTCCTGGCTTAGGGCAATTTTGGGAGAAAAACCTCTAAAGGGGTTTTATCTAGAAGAAGAAATTCAAGTGGGCATGAGGACATTGGGACATGACAGAATTAGGGTTTCAAACTACCGATGAAAACAAAAATGAAGGTCCTGTTTGTTGGACCTGTAGCTATTAACTAAACTAACATTTACTGTTACAATTCATGCCTAGATGAGATTCAGTTTTCTAAGGAAAATGCTTAAACCTTAGCCAGCAGAGCTAAAATTAGGTACAAAATGGATTCTGCATAAACAACCAAGCACAGTTTAACTAACATTGTTATCTTATCTGGAATGTCACATCTGAGGAGAAAACCACCCTGTGACAAACACAGAGAATATGACAGTAAGAGTGCTGTTGAAAAACAGGCAGTTACAAAGAACTTATCAGATCATATCTTACAGAAGTAATAAGTGCCTCATCCTGTTTTGTTTTGAAATAAATTAACACCACTTGAAGAATTAATTCATTGTAGAAGCATTTCCACAGCTCTAAGGACAGTGGCATTAACATATTCCTAGCATTGTCTTACATTAAGATTAGAGATAATTTTAATTATCTTTCACGTCCTATTACCTGATATGAAATAACACACAAGACTCCCCCCTCACACCCACTGCCCAAGGGAAACCTTCAATAAATTGTACATAGATTTACTCAACGGCTTAAAAGAAGTGTGATTCAGATGATTACATAATTTTCTCATATTGTGTCATGACTTGCCATTTTACACAAGAGAGAAGGACCCCAGAGCCCTTTCTCTATTTATTCACATAATTTGACCACTTCTTCCTCTGCTACATATATCTGCTATATTTAGGGTAAAGTCTGGCTCCCTGTGTGCATTATTAAGTGTCCTCTTAAGACAAAGTTCTTCTTGATTGATGTGGAGAGTACAGAACATGACTAAAGCTCAAAAGAGGAGACATGCTTTCCAAAACTCACTGAATCCTGTGATGAACTCCTTTGGGGTAAGTGAGCCGTTGCCATCAGCATCCAATGTAACAAAAACTTTTTCAAGTTCTTCCAGGCTAAGAGGTAACTCAGGATGCAGTCTCTGTAATGACAAAACATGCAGCAACTTTATCCATTACTACAGGGTAAGAGGAAGACTGGGTTCTACAAAACATCCATTGTACAGCAGGATAGGTCCTTTGCTTCCCCGAGTGAAAATCCAATTACAGAGCAAAACCAGATCAAGTGAGGGACATTTGCTTTAATGACTTATTTGCCTTTATGAATCCATTATGTCAACGCAAGGAGAACAACTGCCTGGTGCCACAAACTCCAACCACACAGAGAAGGGAAAGAACTTGAGGTGGATTCTCAGTGTCCTGGTGAAATGACTTGATTATCTTGGTGAAATGCCTTGGTTATCAGGCTTCTGGACAAACCTGGCAGCAGAATGGAAAAACTAGCTCCTTCCACATCATAAAGTCAAGCAAGAAACTCTCTAGATGACTACATTATAGAGGATATACTGTCCTAATTTAAGCTGATTCAAAAAATGTACATAAATAAGTAAATAAAACAAAGCTAAGAAAGCTGCATGGTTTGAGGACCAAACCTGTTGCTCCCACAATGAGTGCAATGGAGTTCACGACTGTCTACTTCTGAAATGCAGCATATTCACACCAAAAAAGACACAGCTGCATAAAACCAGCTCCAAAAATATCACATTTTTTTCCTGATAATCTAAAGACATAAAAGAAAAGAATAATATAAAACTGATCCCAATGGTTTTACTCTAATTCTTTTAAGTGTTGACAGATTCCCAGAAACAGGAGGAAACTGGAGTGGCAAACAACACCAATAACCAGCATTTCCACTGGGAGACAGCACTAGGAAAATTAAAACCTTTCCTCAGCTTGAGAAGCAATATAAATGCACACTGGTTCACTCCTCTGCTTTATTAATTAACATTTTAATCCCCCCCAAACTCATGTTTTATATACAACATATTAAAACTGCAAGCTAGTAGGTTGATAAAGTTCATTAGATTAAAAGTGCAGATCTGTTCCACTGTGGCAGAGGGATTTAGGGCCAAAAATGTTTCTCCTGCAATCCAAAACAGCAGAAACCACTATTCAATATTCCAAGTCATACAGGCAAGGAAAGAGTTGGCTGAGTGCATTAACCAGGAGTTCCCTGGTTGCCACAAAGAGTTTAGGGTATGTTTTATGAACTGCATGGATAAGAGAGTTAAAAAGAATTCCAAGGTGGCCCTGAGAAGTAAAAGCAACAGAGCTGCTAAAGCACAGAACTATCTGGAATAGTTACAAAGGGATTTCTGAGCAGGATTAGTTGTGTATTGCTGCCTGCTTCCAAAAATAAAACCCAGGAAAACTTGATGCATACTCAGTTTAAATGACTTAGTTCATCAGCGATACACCTGTCTTCAGTTTCTTACTTAAACACACCCATCTTCCCAAAGTCTGGATTTCGATCTCTAAGATCTAAAGGGAAACCTTTTATAATCAGCTTCTCCTGTAAAATTCTTACAGCCAACACCACACTGATGAGGTGCTTCAAACAAATTACTCTTTTTACGTTCAGAAAAACAGAAATTGTACTCTTGGCACCAGATCTTTGGGACCTGCTGAAGGAGCACCCAATTTGACCACGCCAAAAACCCAGACCCAGCTGCTATTCAGTGCAATGGCTTGGGGGTCTTGCTGCAAACCTGACTGACAAATATGGGCTTCTCCAACCTCAGCTGCAGTGCCCTAATGCAGCATCCAAATTCTGGTGAGAATTACACTAAATTTACAGTTGAAAACACCACAATTACTTGCGTTTTCTTGGGGGGAAAAAAAGGTATGAAAATAGGAGATTCTAAGGAATGTACCAACATTTTTCTCCATTAAATTTCCTCCAGATAATTTGCAGACTTTTATGAGCTGGGACACACTAAGATTAAGTCAATGTTTTCCCAACCTCTTAAGTGGTTTGTGGCTAGGAAAGCAAAATGTTATTGGTCTCATAGTTGTGTTTTTGTTTATTTGCTCATTTCAAGCTTTCTGTAAAAATACATAGGCCCTTTCAATATGAGGCTCCTAAAATTTTTAAAAGAAAAGAAAACAAAATAAAACATATTCAGAGATACCAGTGCAGCTTCAAAAGAAGCTATCTGCACTGCCACCAAATGTGCTCTGTGGTTTCATGACATCTGTGCTTAATTCTCCTAAAATACCAAGCTTTTACTCAGCTAAATACAAGGACAGAGGTCAAATAGCTAAGAGCACCATCTGAACCCAATTCTCCCATGTACATTAGAACAAAACATTTTACAGCACTAATTCTCATTATTCATTATAACCTGAAGGACCAACAGATGAAACTGGGGTTTCAAGTCAAAGGTAGAATTTTCTTTCTTGCCATTTCAGAAAACCTCTTGTTGGTTTGAAGGCTGGGTACATTTGATATTTGGAAATTGAATTCATTTTTTTTTAATCCAGCTATTAACATCCTCTCACAATAAACAACATCATATAATCAAAGAGGAGTAAATCTTTAGTGTAGTAACAGTTATAGACACAAGAGAAAACACTGCAAGATTTGTTCTATCAAGATTAATTAAATTTCAGATACTTAGCACTCTGCTGAAATAATGCCTTGTATCCCATGCCTAAAGATTAAAAAGCTTAGCATTAGCATCCTATATTTGAAGCAAAGCTTCAGGAATTATAAGCAGTACAGACCTACCAAACACAGCACAATGCAAAAGTGATCAACACTTAGTACCTTTTAAGGAAAATACAGATTTATTTCATTGAATTTTGGTTTTTTTACAGGGAACAACCATCATGAAAACTGCAGGAAATAAAATCAAGTATAAAGAAACGCCATCTCAAATGTCCTGTGCACCTTTATTTCTGTATTAAAGATCTTACATACACTTACATACATAGATGAAGTTTTCAGATATACTAAACAAACATGATGAAATAGAAGAATGAAAGAGAACTTTATTTGTTCTTTGCAACACTATTTCTACTGCATCTTTTGCAACATCTGTTTTAGAACCTGAAGTTTAAATTTAGCAGCACTCTAAGCATAAACCTAGAATCAAACAGAATCAAATAAATTTACATTCCTTGCAAAAACAGGTATTAAAACTTTTTATATACGTATACATACACATAAATATTCGGGTTTTCCATTAGGTAAAATCTATGCCATTCAGTTTTTAGAAAGACTGTAAAATTGTAGCCCATTAAACTCTGTGGCTTTGGATTTATCAAACACTACCACTGGCAATATGTTTGGTTTTTTGAATTCAGTTACTCCAGTGAGATAATGTAGATTGGCAAAGCCTACAGCAGAGCAAGCATCCGCATTCCTCTCTCTTTTCAACTTTGCATAATTAACAGAGGTCATGAGAAAACTCAGCAACACACAACTGCAAAGAAAGCTCTTGAGAGACAGCAAACTGGGCAGTTTACTTAGAAGGGTTTTGCTTTTCCAAAGTAAGTAGTTAAAGTTGTTTCAACTGTGTTTTCATACATATAAACATCTTTGTTTCTGAGGACAGGGAAAGTTTCTAAATTTTCTGTTAGATGCTTTCTTTATTAGTAGATCATGATGAATTTGTTTTGCTCCTGCTCCCCAGTTCTGTTTCACCCATAAGTACTGAAGTAGAAATGGATTAACACAAACTATGCTTTGCATGTCAAGCATGAGTACATTCCTGTTCTCTGTCACATACTAGTTCAAATCATCTTATCACTTCTGCAATGTGCCATAACCACATTTTCAAGAGCTTTTGTTATATATAGTTGCTTTTTCTCATCAGCATATTCAGCAAATCTGATTTTGGGCCCTCAAACAAATTAAGCACAATTTCCTAAGATTGCTGCCAACACTGAATAATGCTAAAAGCACTGTTCCTCTATACTTCCTACATATACATGTGATCCAGCTGAGAGTTCACCCTTGTCTGACAGTGAAGTCACAGTGAAAGACTTTATTTACACAATTTTGCTGAAAAAAAGAATAAAATTGGTGGACTGAATACACTCCTGACACTGTGGCAAATCACAAAGTAATGAATTTAATGGTGTTTCAATGTTTTCAACAAGAATAGAATTGAATTCCTGGGTTTTTTTTTTAAACTTAAATTACTTTGATTTTCCACTTTTTTGTTGCTTTGTCTGTGAGAAAAAATACAAGCATTATGCAAGACTTCAAAGATATTATTTTAAATCCCACATATCTCTTTAAAGTTATGAGGAGGGTGTTAACATTTTTAACTCTACATTAATCAGTCTCAAGTCGTTAAGGTCTTTAGGAGCTTCTCTCATGGTGCATTTCACATAATCAACTTTGTTTTACCTGCATGTCTTGACGAGTGACGAAGCCTTTGCCTTCCAGATCACAAATCTGAAAGAACTCTTGTGCTTTTCCCAGCACAGTTAGCTCCGGGTCTTGTTCTCCAGTCCTGCTCCTCTCTGCATCTCCTGGTTGCACAGGACTAGTGTAGTCTCCTTTTATTCTTTCCATGGTTACAATCTCAGCTCAGGAATATCCTGGGATGCTGCTATCCCATTTACCCATAAATTCTGATCTGAAACCTGTGCATGGAAAAAAGTAAGGAAAAAAGCAAATCAGACCTTCTTAATGATGCTTTCCACAATCTCTTAGTAACCATCTCTTTAATGAGGTACCAAATCTTAGAAGAAGAAAAAGCTTTTTGAAAATGCTTACCCTTGATGGGCTGCACTAAAGGTATTGGAAATGGGATGATGAACAAGGAAGGGGGAGTCTGAGGGAAGGAGAAGACAAAACTAGCTCTGAAATGGAATCTCAAAGCAAAATCAGCCAGTTTGACAAGAAATACAGACAATCAATCAACATGAACAAGAAAACATAAGAAATACAGGTACAGGCAAGAGTAACTTAAAGTCACTACAACTTGAGTTCATATATTTGCCTTGAATTTGTACTTGTTATCTAAGTAGGTCTGCCTAAAGTAGACACAAATTTGCCTGAAAATTTTTAACAGAACAAATCATTTTTTAAGGCATTTGACTAATGTAAGAGAATATAGCCTGATTCTGATCCAGTATGACTGGCACAATCTGGAACAACTCCACAACGGCCAGTGAAAATTGTTTAAATACAAAACTTATGTTGTCTGCAGAGCAAAGCCCTCAGCACTGCATGGATGTGAAGGTAGAATATGAGAAAACAAGACCTTAGCTTGTCTGTGCAGCTTCTTAAGGTGAAAAGGCTCTGACTACATAGAGCCACTCAGCCTGTTTTACTCTGTGCTTAAGTTCAAAGCTGGCACTCTTGGGACACAGCATCTTCTAAGATGTGTTCATCATCACAGAACTCACACAGCTTCCCATGGCAAAGTGATTTCTCTGATAGCCATGGGCCAGGCAGCTGGACTTCCCAAATTGCATGTAAGTGTAAATTTACTGCAAATAGGCCATTGACCTCAAGATAGACTAAGGTTTTGGTGAGCAAATCACTCAGCCCCTCTGAAACCATGTGAAAAAATCTGCAAACAAAGGTAATTTTCCTCTCCCTCCCTCTTCATCATTTCAATCATCCCAAGACTCTTGTCCAAATACTTTCCAGAACTGAAATAACTTTGGCTATATGGCCAAAGAACCTGTCAGAATCTTCCTAAGCAGTATTACAAGCAGGAGAAGAAAAAACACTCTGAGAGAAGCCAAGAGATGTCTAAACCACCCAGTATCATACCGTAGGAAACTCCTCCCTCAGAATGGGTTTCCTTGAATTTTAATGTACAGCTGTTAGGGGTGCCTTATGAGCCCCAAGAACTCTCTGCTGGGTCAAGCCACACTCCACACCCCAAGATGCACCAAAGCCTGCCAGAACACCCACGTCAGCAGCCCTGGATAATTAACAAAGCTCGAAAATGCTGTCACGGGGAATTCTGGTCACACATAACAAGGGGCTTTTGCCTATTACAGCTGCCTGAACAGCTGTAATCTCTTATGAGGAAAATTTCTAGCTCAGAAAGTCTGATCAACATTCAGTAGCTGGAAACATACACAAAGTAAAAAACTGCTCCATAATTGCCCTGTTCCTTAAATCCTTCCATGATGTTTCCAACAGTCTTAAAAACAGTATATGGGCCAGATGAATCCTTGCTCTCACTGTATATAGCCACCCACAAGTAGATCAGATGGAAAGCCACAATCAAACTACACTGGTGTAATAGTCTGGATAAAATTCTCACTTCATACTGCTTTTACACACCTGAACCCCCATTACTTCAATACAGCTCTCTCCTGGCTGACACCAGTGTATGAGGTAACAAACCAGAGCATCAGCTTCAACTTAGCAATGTTACTAATTTAAAAACAGGTGTAAAAGCACCAAAAATCAATGGGACAAGCACAGCTTAAAGACGGTCTTGACAAGATCTGACCCAGACTCAAAATGTTGGTTTTTTGTGTTTTTTTTTTTTTTCCCCAACAATTTCTCAGAAGACCACAACTTCAGGAACAGGCCAAGCTAATCAAGATAATAAGTGCTGCTAGTGCCTGCCTCTGCACAGTCCATCAGACTTCCTTAGGAAAAAAAAAAACTATGCAAGGAATAAATAGCCCATTGCAAGAGAAAGAACAGAAATACAAAAACAGATTAAAAATGGCGAAACAAAAGGGACTGTATACACTTTGATAAAGTTGTTTGCAGTTAGCAAACAGTACAATTCAGCAAACATCACCATGCTTTCTAAATATTTCCATACACAAAATGAAACTACATGCATCATGAGAGCCTCACCTTCTTAAAAGTTGCCCCACCTTTTATACACACCATAAAAACTTGCTACACAGCAAGTGTCTTCAATACAGCAGAAAATTAAATGTGAGCATCTGCAAAAATTCTTAATCCTTATGGCAGCTTCTAAAGCTAATAGAGTTCATTGTAATTCCTACAGTGTCCTGATACTTTGCAAATGCTAGTAATAACATGAAAGATTAAAACTGCAATTTGTCCTACACTACTGAATCAGCACTCAGTAATTACCTCAAAGCCAGTTTCAAAAAACAGGTAGTTCCATTCACTCATCCATCTCCTTTAGAAAATGAATGGCTTACAAAATCAATTCTATTAAGACCTTTGATTTCCATTCTTTTAGCTATAAACCCACTTCACTATGCAAAATAGGTCATAGCATGACCTGATGCAAACAAGCATAGCTCCAAACACTAAACAAAGATGCGTGATTCAGAGGTTGCTGTCCAATAATCATGAGGCAAATTTTGGATGGATCTGCAAAAGGCAGGTCACTGTTAATATTCCAAAAGGCATTTTCATCATTTCCAATCAGGTCTACTGCAAATCACCAAACTCTAGAAGTACAGAGCAATGTTAAGCCACAGATTTCACAAGTCATGATGCGTGACAACCCTGTTCTCCCTAACTATGATAGTTAAAAACCTAGAGAGCTGTTTTGCCTGCCCTCATATGTCTTCTGGTTTTGGGTTTAGGTGACATATTTTTCTTAGCATGTGTCTACAGGTACAAATTTTCTGCAGCACACTTCAAAACCTATCAGCTGAAAAATATTGTAAGCTTATTTAATACCAAGGTCACCTTGGATTCATCCAAAGCACTGTTATGAGAGAGAACACATGCCTTACAAACACTACAAAATAAAAAATAGATTGCATACTTTTTCTACAAGAAATGTTTATTTCCTACAACCAAATGTTAAAATAACCCACAGCTGCAGTGCAGCATGCCTGACACATGAACAGGGACCTCTTCAGAAATAACTTTGTGTCAGAGTTAGTTATCAGAGTTAGTTATTCAGCACTGTGCTGAAAAGCTCCTAAAGCTAAAATACATCACCACAAGGAAATCATTCTGTTCCCAACTGCTCTGCCCTGCTTTTGAACAAGTATTCATCCAGTTAGACAGTGAATTCTGTTGTAGAATCCTTTCAATTTCAACTGGAAAGTTATAGTTTATTTAATTTCATTAAGCCCCAGTGGTCTATCAAGGAAGAATCAAAAAAAGCAGGACCGACAGGGAATGACAGAAGAATGGGACTAAGACCAAAGAGAGCACAATAACCAAGCTCAAGTACAAACAAGTTTTCTAGGTACAGGACTGGAGAAAAATGCTCCCTATGCACATAATACAATCCACAAGAAGCAAACATGTCAGACAAGCTGGACATGAAAACCCACCCAAAGGTAAAGAAGGTGGAGCACTGAACACCTGGCTGCAAAGGCAGTGCAGTTCTGCCATCATGGAAGAACAGACCAAACACAAATCTGCGAATAATGGCAGAGGAGATCACTCCTGAGAAAGATGACTGCATCAGTGGACTTCAGTGTTACTTCTAGCCATTTAAAAAAAAGATTTTATGACCATCCAACATAAAACTTCAGGTCCCACACTTAAAACAGCTAGCAGAGATACAAAGTTGCATGCTCAAGAAAATACCTGTTTTTTCTCAATTATGACTATGACAATTAACCTTTAAGCTTTCACGGAAGCATTATAAAGCTTGGCCAAACCATATGGACACCTAGACACAACTGGATGAAAAAAAGGGGGCACTGATTCCTCCAGTTTTGGCTCTTCAAGTAAAAACATGCAAGTCAGAAAATCTTGTGTATCATCAAAGCCTCTTCCACAGAGCCTGAATTCACTTCTCTCATGATGTACATGATCTCCCATGTCTTTTCATCTTAGGAGATTGTACACCATGGAGTGGGTGTGAGGAGTTTAACTCCGGAGGGAGAGATCTGAGGCAGGCTGGAGTTCCCATGAGGGACCACAAGAAGATAGTCTGAAAGGAATGTGACATGAAAATAATTTCAGGGGAGTTGCAAAGGCAGAGACAAAAGAAGAATCCTACATCCACTGGCCTGTAAAGGGAAAAACTAAGTTATGTAGAAATTCCTTTAGTGTAAATAGATTTGTGTGGGAGAACCAAATTCTGTTTAGAATCAGTCTTGACAGACTGTTTAGATTCTGTCTTAACAGAAACTCCCCAGCCTGACCTGATTAGCTTTTAAAGATTAAAGGAACCATTAGGATCACCTGCTTTCCTATCTGCAAGCTTAAATCTTCATTTATACCACAACAAGGCTTTAAAAATTACTTACAATTTATTTCAAGGTAAGGGAGCTCAGCAGAACTCAAGGAGGAAAAACCTGGGAGAAGATATTGTTTGTCATACATGTTACAATTTATTTCAAGGTAAGGGAGCTCAGCAGAACTCAAGGAGGAAAAAGACCTGGAAGAAGATATTGTTTGTCATACATACACCAAAGTCATATAAATGAAATTTCTCCTTTTCTGAAGATTGCTGTTTAAGGAAAAGAAGAACCAAAACAAACCTTAAAGCTAAAGAAGAAGGATAAAAATCCAGATTATGTATCTGAAGCAGTGTCTCAACAATATTAACTGTGAAACAGGAGAAAAGCAGAAAATATGCCTGAAGTGATTAAGCATTAAAGATTCCAAAACAGACAGCCAAACACTTTGGACAGAGACCA